TCTCATAAATCAAAGTATAATAGCCATCCATTGATAAGAACTTGATATATATACACATCATCACCATGGATCCCATGGTGCCAAAAAAAAAAAAAGTAATATATGCTAGCTCCCCATTTCCCACAAGGGCGGGGGAGTGAGATCCAATGGGCGAAGATTTGAAAAATGTTGTGATGATAGCAGGCGGAGACTATGACCAAAGTACAACATTAACAACAACAACACAAGACATTAGACCCATGGACCAACCAATATACATAACATGTCCATATAAAACCATAGTAAATGCCCACCACCTTTATTTGCCTAAATAACATAATATTCTCTTCACATCATTCTACACATACATACAACCCAAAACATGCATCGCTTTCACATCTCCTTCCTCATTGCTCTCCTCCTAACCAGCTCCCCCGGAATCCATGCCGCCCGTCACCCGCCGCCCCTCGCCGGCGGCCCTTCCCCTGGGAGCGCGCAGCTCTTTCGTCCTCGTGCTAGTGCTCCGGCGGCCAGAGATTTCGAGTCCGATAAGAGAAGAGTCCCCACCGGCTCTAATCCACTCCACAACAAGAGATAATATAATAGTCTACTATACGCGCTTGGAATCATGTTTATTTTGTCGTAGGTAACAGGCCGGAAGATTCGTTGTACATTTGATTGGTTTTGTTGTATGTTGTTTAATTGATCGAGATACTAGAATGTTAGAATTGGTGACTCAAAATTTGTTTCAAGATAAGTTTTGTTTCACCATCTTCATCTTTTTTCTTTTTTTTTTTTTTCTTCTCAAAACTCGAGTTACTATTTGAAAGTATACGGTGGGTAAACTACCATCATCTTTATTAGTAGAGATATTGTACAGATCGAAAGTTGGTAAAATCAAACCAACCTTAATTTACTTAGCTTGTGTCTACATGACTACATATATATTTCTAGAGGAAAGCAAGCTAAGCTAAGTCTGATCTGCCGTATTTTTATTTTTATTTTTATATATTTTTTGTTTGATTATTCTCATGTATTTGATCGAGATTTGATCATGATTTATATTGTAGCTAGTATAGACTTGAGATATATATGATGTAATGCATTTAATTAAGAATTTTTGTATTATACTTTGCTTTAATATAATGTTGTAGTAAAATAATATGTTCAAACTACTAATTTCACTTTGTGAGAAATGATTTTCTTCGTTTGCAGTATTTACCTATTGTATTCTTTAATAGGTATTCGTTTCTTAAGATTTTTGGAGTGTTCGTGTTTGTTTGTTAAGATTTTTGAAAATCGATGTTCGTTTTCGTTTGTTAAGCGTTCATTAGTGTTGGTTAATGTTTGCGAACACTTGTTATTAAATGAACATTAAACGAACTTGTTCATGAACACGAACACAAACGAGTTTGTTCACGAGCTCTTAACAAACGAGTCTACAAATGTTCAAACTTTGTTCATTTATGTTCGTTTACCTTAATAAACGAACATTTATCAAACACGAACATGAATAGTTACTTATCAAACACGAACACGAGTAGTTTATGAAAAACTTGTCCGCTAATCTTTATGTTCTTTAAAGATAAATAGCACCCGTATCATATATGCTGTTCTTTAAAGATAAATAGCACCCGTATCATATATGCGAAAGTCTTCATTATTTATTTATTTTTATTATTATGATTTTGCATAAGTTTTTGGTGGTTAAAAAAAAAAACGAAGTGAAAAGGAAAAAGTTAAGTTTATTTAGTTTGTGCTCCATTTCTGCTCGATCAACATACAGTCCATTATATTGAGTGGGAAAACCTCTATTCCCACTTACGGTTTGATCCTGCAGAGATATATCCAACTGAAGTTTGTAATAATTAGTCTCTGAAAAAATTAATGAAATTTAATTTATTTATTTAAAAAAAAAAGAAAGATAGAAATATTAGTGTGTAATTTTCTTTTCCCGGACGAAACATTTGAGAGGATGTAAATCACGATGACTCAATAACTCAGCAGACAAGACCAAATGTCGGTGCGCACAAAAGATCTGTCCACTTTGAGCATAATTCCCACATTGGCACTATCACTGCTGAGATTAAAATATTAATCTCTTCTTCTAAATACTGTCTATAAAGTATTGGGAGTGGAATAAATAGGTGATATTAGCTGTAATAAGGAATGTACAGAGGGAGTTGATTGAGGCTGCAGCGAGGCATTATCGGCAGGGACCCAAAGTTTAAATGGGTGTAAATACCCATTACTTCATGCAACCACCATGCACTTAAAGAATATATCCCACCACCTTAGCTAGCTTTCACACACACCTGCAAATTAATTAAAGAATGAATAATTATATGATTGCTGATTTGGGAGCCTTATTGGCCCTCACTCCCTTCACTGCTTCACACACCTTTTCTTCCCAGTTGTAGTTGCACTGATGCCTACGTGTGCTTTGTTTTACTCGATCTCTCAAATCGAGATCCACAAATATTCATTGAGAAGTAAATTTGTATAAATTGGTTTAATTTGTGGCATGCCAATGCACCATATATAGTTAAGTGTATGAAAATTAGGATCTGATCGGTGAGTTAATTATACTACTAACTATTTATCTTTGCAATAACTTTAAGAGTGAGGTTTTTGGGACAAAGTTAAAGAGATATGGAATAACTCATTTTAACTTGACTTGATTTTAAAATTTAACAATTTTAATTTCAAATTGATTGTCCAACAAAATGACTTGATCTTTGTTATGATGACTTGTGAATCCCAAAGCCATGTTTAGAACTGAACTTGGAGGGTTACTCCCACAAAATGACAAAGGGTTGCTATATGTGTGTTATACCAATTATCAAGTGATATAGTGTTGTAATTAGAATTTACCTATTAAAAATATTGTGTTTAGACATTAGCTAGTTTATCAAGGCTTTGAAATTATATTAAGCTAAGATATGAGGTTTTCGTCCAATTGAATTGAAAAATAATTTTTTTAATGATCTTATTGATAGAATAATTACGAATAGATATGGAACGGAATAATATATAGCAAATCAAACCTGAGACACCGGACAAACCCACACCGAGATCGGCCGAGCAGACCATGGGATGGTCTTCCACCCTATGGTTTGCCATGCCACAGTCGGCCGCGCCTGAGTGTCGGGCACCCCGAAGGTCGGCCACCTCAAGGGTCGCCAGGTAAGCCACCTCGTGGTCGGCCACCCCACCAAGAGGGTCGCCCACTTGGCCGTGCTCTATGCTCGGCCAAGGGGCAGGGTCTCCGCGTTACCCGAGTCTCGTGGTGCGTGCTACGGTTCAAGACGTTGAGGGAACCTCCATTGATTTCTCCAGGGTTGTAGGGGCGACATACACGGGGTATAAAAACCCTCATTTGTGTGTCTTGTTCAGACATCTCTTGTCCTAATTCCGTACTTGTCTTGTTATTACATATATAATTCTTACCTTTGTAATAACACTTTATACACAATTAATGCAATATTCGTCCACGTGACTTATAATTGTATCAATATTCGTCCTTAATTCGTTTAATCCTATACTTGTCACGTTCATTTATATATTCGGGTTAATAAATTCGGACCACCGTACCGGGTTATTAGTGCGTCATGGTCTAGATTCATATAAATTTATTTTGTTATTTGATTCATTGTAGGATTAAAAAAAAAAAATACTTAGCATAATACATATTTTTAACATTTGACATTGTTTTAATGAAATAATATTTTAAATGAGTCATATTTATGTTCCTATTATACAATATAGTTAAGATTTTATAATTGTAATATAATAGTTTACAAGTAAGAGCAAAATGAATAACATCTATTCATTTTCAATGAACCAAAAAATATAGACACAAGTGTTAAATAGGTTCATCTATTACTTCGAAGTGCTCAATTCCACCCATCAATTAAAACATAATGTAATTAGACACGCTTACCTCTAAAAATTTGTCGATTAGCATTTTCTGCAGGTTACCTCCGGCTTGCCACTTCACACTGCTGACATGTAATTATATTTATATAAAAATGGTGATGATGTAGAAAAAGCCAATAACCTTAGTCCAAGCCAAAAACATTCGTCGACATCTTCACATCGACACTGCTGACATCCGTTCATTCTTTTTAATTAAATAACTGCTATTATATGGGTTCAATTATATCATATTGTTGGAATTACTCTGACAATAATTCCTTAAAAGTGGATTTCACTTTCAATGGCTTCATTGTGCAGAGACGTTCTTCTTTGGAGGAATGGATGACAAAATTACTATCTGATATTGATTAATCAAGGAGTGTTGCAACAGCATCCTTTCTTGAACTCGAAGCAGCTGCTAGATCTTGTATGTCTCACAAGTGTGGGAATTTATTTTTAACTCTGTTTCATCAGTGATAAGTTATGAGAATGAACGGATGTCAGCAGTGTCTATATGAAGATGTCGACGAATATTTTTGGCTTGGAACAGGGCTCGGCTTCTCGTTGGAGATTTAGAAGTGAATTCCACATTATCACCATTTTTATTTAAATACAATTACATGTCAGCAGTGTAGAGTGGTAACCCGTAGGTAACGTGTAAAAAATGCTAATTGACAAATTTTTAGAGGTAAGTGTGTCTAATTACATTATGTTTTAGTTGAGGGGTGGAATTGAGCACTTCGAAGTAGTAGATGAGCCTATTTGACACTTGTGTCAAAAATATATATAGAGAGAGTATATTAGTAGTCAAAAATGTTACACAATTAACGAATTCGTTGGCTCACGCTTTAGTCAATGTCGCGAGTTCTCAACCTTATTCGATATAGTGAACGCATTCACCAGTCTCATGTATTGTTCAATTTCGTTAATGCAGTTTGATTAGTTTTTGACTTTCAAAATATACAGAGAGCATATTAAATATTTAATTATTTATTCAAAAAGTGAAATGTGAAATTATACAAAAATTCATATAATAATTTTTGTTTTGTTTTATTTTGTTGGAGAAAACAATTCTATAAATAAATAAAATAGAGAGAATTTTATCGCTGGCAGTAGCCAGTAGGCACCAAAGAGGTTATTTTATCAACTCACGCTTCCTGTAGGCTGTAGATAAACCTCTGCAAGTCTCAGGGTTTAAGACCCGTATTTCACTCGGGTCTGCTCAAAAGCTGAAGCCATTTCATCAAGAATTGAAAGGGGTAAGCAATTCTACTTCTTCGTACATGTTCTCGTGTAAGAGTTTAGAATTTCGTACCAGTTTTCTTTGTATTGAATTGAACATCTGCTCTGCTCGAGATACTTCTGCTTATGGGACTAAGTTTGGATTGAAATTAGGTGCAAATTCTGGTGTAATCTACAAATATTTGTACAAATTCTTGAATGCGTTGATGAATCCTTCTGTTAAAATGGTTAGGGCTCTCTGAAGGATTCAAAATAGCATAAAATGGGTTGGTTTCTAAAGAGGTAGAAAGCACACTTGGTTAGAGGAAACAATTTTCACACTTCTGAATTTCTTTCGAAGTGTTCTTTAAAGCATTCATGCGGTTACTATCTCATAGTTTGAGCACATTTATGTATATATTATATGCCTAACACGCCCCCCTCGTGTGCCTTTTTGACGGGCTCCAAGCAACCCATGGACTATCGTCTATTTGAACCCATAACCTCTTGTACGAGGTTGGGTCGTATGTGCTCTGTCTCAATTAAAAGCATAAGCTCACATTTATGTTTATATATTATATGCTCAACAACTACTGTCTTTGCTTTCATACATACTTCTGTAGTGAGATTATTGTCAGGAAGGCACATGAAAGTTCCTCTCTTGTGGTTCAAAATATGTACCGTGCCAACTCAAAAGAATGTTTCTAAACAGATGATGTATTTGCAATGGAAGAATATAATTGGGGACTTCAATGTATGATCTTTCCTTTGATTACTTAGTATCATATGGAGCCAAATGGATAATTTGATAGAGAATGCTTCAAACAAGAGTAAATTAGAACACTAGGTGAAAATCCTGTCCTTGGGGGAGTAGCATCATGGCATTGGTTAAGGTGAAGTAGTTTCTGCTAAATTTCTTTTGGGAGGAGAATCAGAAAACTTTAAAGAACATGAGTAATATTTGTTTTGGTTCTGTTTATGAATGATGGATCATATCCTAAAAGCGTGCATTTGTGTTTTTGTTCTATGATCTTGCATTCAACTGGACCAATTGTATATCTGGGGTTCTTATGTTCTTATTCTATGATGATCTTGCATGGTATTGGACCAATAGAAATATTTGTCTGCTGAAGAAATTGTGTGGGTGAATCTCTGTTTTTTCTCGTGCTAGCTAGGCAGATCAAACTGCAAGAGATGGCAAGTTTTGTGATAAATCCAACTTTGAGTAGCTTCAATACCCTTAACTGCCGCAACCCAAATCATAAATCCTCTAGAAGATCCCTAGGTGTTCGGGCAATGAGGATAGAGAAACCAATGGAAGAGTTGTACAATATCAGTGTCGAGAGGAATGTGTCAAAAGAAAGATTGCAGGAGCTTGGTGTTTCACGATGGTCAATGTGGAAGACGGGCGAATGCAAGCTTCCTTGGGACTGGCATGTGGATCAGTTGGTCTATATCGAAGAAGGAGAGGTAAAAGTGGTGCCAGATGGGAGTGAACGCCATATGCGTTTTGTTGCTGGTGACTTGGTTCGCTATCCCAAATGGTTCGAGGCTGATCTCTACTTCGACGGCTTCTACCAAGAACGCTATAGCTTTCGAGCATATGGCGATGACTAGTGAACGCCATATGCGTTTTGTCTTATTTATTCTCATGTAAGACTTTATATTACTGTTAATGTTACTCTTAGGTGCTAGATATTGTCTCTCCAAATATGATTTGGAACTTGGGAATCTTGTGCATTCAGTTGTGAACTTTTACTTACCATCTTGTGCAGCAGAGCTTTTGTTAAGAATGGGCTTGGATGTAAAAAACTGGCATAATTAGAATAGTTCTGTGGATCGAAATTTGAACCGGATCAATGTTAAATATATTTATAAATGTAGGGGGCAAAAATTAAACTAATTATAAAGTGAGGGTCGTGAACATCATTTGGATAGTCAAAAGTCAAAAGTTGCGTGTTTATAAGGTGATTAGTCTATTCCTTCAGCGAACCAAGCGATAGAATATAATTCATGTTCTATTCTTTACTTATTTTATCCCTTATGGAATAATATTCATATTTTTTCCAAATTCATTCTGTGAACTAAACGTGTTGTAAATGTAATTTTTATAATTTGCTTTACGGTTTACGGTTTGCTCATCGAATATAATAATGATATTAATTAAATTGATTGTGCAATATAATGCAACTGTATATTCAATGTATTGAGCAAAAGAAACAAAAATCTTTATAATTTGTAAAGCATTTTCACATATCTGGGAATAAATTCTTTCGAATCTTGTTTTTTAAATGCACTAATATGCTTTTTATTTTCCTTTTTCAATGAAATATTTCTCTAAAATCTCAAGTCAAGTACAAATAATTGTGCATTGAGATATACATTTTTTACATAAATTAAAAAAAAAAAAAAAAAAAAAAAAAAAAAAAAACTACTCTAGTTAGATCTATGCCGAATCTATCGGCAATGCCCTCAACTAAAAGTCTAAGCTTACACATTTATGTTTAAGCCCATCAAATGTTCAGGCCGATTACTTTTTTATGTGCTCTAAGCAACAGGTGGAACATAATCTCTTTTATTTGGGACTTTTGGCATGGGGTTGGCTACCAAATTGAAGCACGCTACATCTCAACTAAAAGCTTAAGTTGATAATCGGATTGCACATTTATGTTTATATATTATATATATATATATATATGGATAGAGACCATATGAGAGATGGTGCTTTAAGTTCTAAATAATGTTCTTTCTACAATTCATATTACATAGATGATGACAATATATCTATGTGTGTATGTGCAAAAATTTCTTATAATTAAAATTATAGGGGAATGTTTAACCCTACCAATCATATATATTCAAATTATATAAGTTGTGCAAATGCCTATATGTGCCACTTTATATTATAGACAAGTTTCTTAACGGTATACAAAGCTATATATATCATATATATTCAAATTATTAGCCGATATTATTTATCTTTTTATCATAATAATATATCGAAAGAGAAAAAAGAGGTAACTATTTAAGTTTGATCTTTTGCATGAGCAGATAATGGAGTAGATAAATTTCTTCCCCATAGAAATGAAATAAAGCTGAAATACAGAAAGGAATATTTGGTTTTGTCACAAAACCGAATAATATTTATCAAGATAGAGGTCACAAGAGAAATTATCTCTGCAACCAAGGATTGTTTTTTTATGGTACAGAAGAAGCCCATGGCCGGCGATGAAAAGATGATCCAGCCCCCACCCTCCCCCAACCCAAAATATAAATCAGACAAGCAACTTGGTATCAACAGAAGCTGACCTTAATCTCCATTCTTCATTATCCCTCCATCTGTCTGTTTCCGGGGATGTTGGCGCCAAGTAACGCATTACGGTTCTTGGGGTCAAAATCTCCGGTTCTACAACTCGCGCTGGAAATGGCTTTAATTTGGAGAAGTCAGTGGGACGTGCTGTCCTCGGGTGCCACAGGTGTCCGTGGATTAGTGCTGGTGGCAATGGCGACGGAAGAGGCAAACCGAGCAACGAGGACACCTTCGTGGCTCACGGCAGCATTGGACGCTGCTACGTTTTCTAATTGGTTCCAGATTGATTCCCGCCTCTTCTGTCTCTCCTCCTTTCGGTTTTCGTCCTCTTCAAAACATGATAAACACTGTTCAAACAGCATCGGATCGGCATCTGCGAAGATCTTCCTTACATTCAAAGTCAGGCTTTGAACAGCTTGATTCCAATGACCCCTGGTGTTTTTCTCCAAGTATGGAAAAACAATGGGTAATATCACTTCACGGTTCTGAAGAATCAGATTTCTTATATGATCATTATTCCATATGAACAATGCACGTTCTGCCACCTGCATGTTTCAAATGCCTTGACTATCTGAGAGAGGGAAATAAAAAAAACGAGCAAAAACAAAGTATCAAAGAATACAACAGTACTTATCACAACAAGCAAGTTTCAACAAAGTTCAAACTAATTACAACTTGGCTTTTGAAATTCATGTTGAAATCGATTGGGAAAGAAGGATGAAATATGGGACGTAGGCACGTAGCTGCTTGTTTTGGCTGATCTGGAAGGAAAGAAATCATTGTTTTTTGATGGTTTAAAGATGTCCCTAGTGAATATCAATGACCTTTATTTATGAAATTTTTTTAATCACTTCATAATGAAGAAATTTTGACAAAAATCCAAACAAACTACAAAACCAGCCTTTGACATACATGTTGATATTGATAAAAACGAAAAACACTTCACACACACACACACAAATTATGTATGGATGTATGTGTATTAGTCTCCCCAAACTTAAGGCTCAACTTATCTGAAGAGAAGAATTATGGATTCACCTTTTTTGTGTGTGCAAGAAAAAAAACCCATTAACTTAGTTATTATCTGCTAGTTGATTATTTTCTATTGGCCTAGCATATGAAACTCATGCTTCTTCGAGGTTTGGACACCCAGTTAAATACATGGATCAGCCTCATCTAAAGAAGCTGTTAGATGTGATGGAGCTACAAAGCAAGATGGTGATAATTTAACTAATCTATAGTCTATCTTTGAAAAGGAAATTTCACTTTCAGAAATTTAGCCGCCAAAAGGAACTAAACCACATGGATGCAGCTGAATAAAAGTACTGATAAAGACATGGGACAAGAGAACCCTAAAACCAGACAAAAGCCTAATACTAAACCAACGCAGAAATTTTGATCTCATTAAATACTCCAAACCATTCAATTCCAAACTACAATGAAATGCAACTTCCTCCCAGGTTCTGCAGCATCCATTAATCCTTGGAGTAGAATGAGTAGCCAATGAAACTAGAGAAATTGTGGTAGATAAGAGAAAATAATCATGGTTGCAAAAATCGCGCCTAGGCGCCGGTCGGCAGCCTAGATTTTCACTGTAATCGGTGTTCTAGGCAGCCTAGGTGCCGACTAGGCCGTGGTGGACTAGGCAGCCGATTAGCTATTGTTCCATTTCTTTTAATGGGTTATTCCGCTCAAACAACATCGGTTTGAGCAAAATAACCCTAAATCGTTCAAATCAATCGCAAACCCAAAAATTGTAATTTAAAAAAAAAAAAAAAAAATTGAAATCAACTACTCTAATATTGATACTTTGTGAGTTGTGACTTTGTGAAATTGTGTTTTGATTCTTTAAATCTTTATACAATTTACAATTCTAAATGTTTTTAGGTTAATATTTAATATTTTAGTATTAAATATTAAAGTATTAAATAGTCTACAATTATCAAGTCTCAAAAAAAAAAAAAGGGCGCCTAGGCGTCCAAGGAACGCCTAGCGATTTTTGCAACCTTGGAAATAATACAGAGAGGCAACAAGAGAGCTGGTCAGAATGAAGGTGGCACTGGATTTTGCAACAAGTGGTGACAAGGAAAGTGAGTGTGGGGTTCCTCAAAATGCCTCAAATAATGGCAATCAGTGAAGGTGGTGCAGCACTGGCCTCCGTAGGCAGTTGTGAAGGCTAAATTACATTTTTATAACTAAAGATTCCTTCACAACTGTCAAAATATTATTCCAGTTACCGGTTACCATTGATAATAAAAAGTCTCACGAGTTAATAGGTGATGAGAATTGGGATGCCAGTAACCACTTATGACTTACCACAAAAGCTAATATTAATGGGTTCGGTGATGGAAATCTAACGTTTTTTTTTTTTCCTTCTTTTAATAGTTAATCTTTTTTTTTCCTTTTGACCTATCCCCGAAAAGTATTGATTTTTTTTTTTATAGAAATTGTGAAACATACAAAATAGACTATAAAAGCACAGATGATAATTATTTTTCTAACTTGAAACAAAGAACTCAGAATTCAGAAATTATAGACAGGCAAGTTACTTCTAAAGCGAACACAATACTCAGGTCCATATAAATTTATAAGATGTGTACACAGCGCAATGCCTTTCTGGTTTATTATTAACTGATTTACAATTATCATTTCTCCCACCACTGTTCACAGAAAAACTCCAAGTAAAGGGTAAGTATAATTAACTAAAAGGGACAAGAGAAAGGAGAGAGAGAGACTGTCCTCATTGTTAGGTGCGGGAAGTTGATAGGTTAGATTGGAGAATATAAGTTCAGGCTGGAACTAAGGATCAAACTGAGGAATGAAGCTAGAATAAATGGGACAAGCAATGGGTGAAGGTTGTACCTGAAAATGTGAGCTGCTGAGGCAGCGACCAATCTGTCGTGTGAGAGGGACCATGCAACGTTGAAATTCAGCAGCCTGGGTTGCTTCAAGAACTTCCTCCAACTCACCAAGAAACATTACCTCCTTGCCACTATTAGTTAAAGGCCAATACTTCAAAAGACCTCTAATCACAGTGTCAGCCAACTTGTAGTCTTTCTCCACGAACTGGGTAATGCAATAAGAAAGTTGTGGGTGGTAGATGGATACGCATTTAGGTTTGTGAAGAGGAATTAATGCTCGCACAAGGAAGAGTTTGTGCTCTTCCTTGAGGGGCAAGGCAAATCCATTGATTATACTGCCCAAAATTTCCAGTAGCTCTGCAATCCCATTATGTTTCTCAGTCTCAAAAATAAAGCGGTAAAAGATATGATTGATAGCTTTCCTGATAAAAGGCCTATGCACCATGAACTTCCCATATATACGGTGAAGAATTGTCTTCAAGTACTCCCTCTCTCTTTGGTCTTCTGAGTCAAAGAGGTCAAGCAATCTCAAAACAAATGAATGGTCAATGTATCTTTTTGCAAGCTTAGCATCCATCTCAGGTGAAGCCACGAATCTCAAAAGTATCTCGTAGACAATCTGAATATGGGGCCACATGGGTTCCATAGCAGGTTCCTCCTCTTCTGGGTCAAACAAATCTGGCAGCTTATTATCAAGATTAGGTGAGTGAAACGTCCTAAATAAATTGACAGCCACCATCTTCGTAATTTCCTGCATTGTAACCTCATTGAACTTTGAATTTACAGATGAGATATAGTCAACCAGTTCAAGCAATGTCTGCCTCTTTACATCCTTCTCCTTCAGATTCTTTGTAGGGTCACTGAAATCGAATACCACACAACACATATTCAACTTCTTAACCAGAAGATTCTGCTTTTCAGAGTTGGGAACATCTCTAAAGCTTGGAAGGGCCTCATAAGGAGACACTAAGTTCATAGCAACAGGACCCATTTGAGCATCATGCCCCGTCTTCTTCCCCTGATTTGACTTCAATGGGGCATAATTCCCATTACTAGCAGACCGAGCCGGAGCAGAACTACTCGAATTTGCCGATTTACCCAAATTTGCATTACCCTTTGAGTTGTTTCCATTTGCAACAATACCATAGCTATTTGAATTCACATTAGCTGATGATAATGCTGAAACCTCACTGTTATTCGAGTCACCATAAGACGATGATTTAGACGAGGGCTTCCTTGGAAGCTTGCCGAATATCTGCTTAATCATATCCGACAAAACCCAGCCTAAACCTGACTAACAGAATCACAGAAACCCTAAATTACAACACAGACCAGAGTGACTAAAAGTTTCCACCTTTCAACTTGAAATAGGAACCCAGAACGAATACATTCTCAAGGGGAGTCCAGCTATGGCGACACAAGAAAGTATGAAATTAGAACAAAGCAAGATTACAAGGCCATACCTCGAAGAAGCACTGTAAATTCAAACTTTGGGTCAGAAGAATTACGGTTTTCGCTACTTGGTTTTCTCCCGTTTCAGCGATAAGAGACGATTGATAAATTGGGCCTTGGGAATTTGTCCAAAAAAACCCTAATTTAATAATTTTATTAAAAAAATATTTCATAGTAAGATTTCAACATGTAACTTTTCATTTGAAATGACCACCGTTTAACCATAAAGTCTTTTACTTATTATAAGTTTTTTTTTTTTTTTTTTTAAACTACTTATTATAAGTTTGGAGAGGGAAAAGAATCAAAAGTTGTAGCCTAAAAGGGAAAGTTTCCTTTGTTATGTTTGAGCATAAAATATTAGATAAATTTTTAATTATCCACCATAGTCCATAACCCCCCATATATTTTATATTTTTATTTTTATTTTATTTTATGCGGATATAATGAGATATTCATATTTGACTTGTGTATTCTTAGGGGGTGTTTGGTTGGATGGAAAATTTTTTCTATGGAAAATGTTTTCCTAAAAGTGAAGGAAAATGATGTTTTATGTTGTTTGGTTGGATGGAAAACATTTTCCATAGGAAAAAGTTTTCCTTAAGAACAAGGAAAACAAATTCCTAGCTTAGGCTAGGTATTTTGTTTTTCATGGAAAACCTTTTCCATTGAAAACTAATATGACAATTTTACCCTCACCATTCTTTATTAATTACTCTTATTATTATATTATTATTGTTGTGTAAGGTTATATTTGTCATTATACTCATTATTCCTTACCATTCCAAACTCAACCAAACAATGGAATTCATATTCCCAGTAATTTCTTTTCCACCAACCAAACAATGGAATTTGTTTTCTTGGAATTTATTTTCCATGAAATTCTAATTCCATTTCCCTTCAAATATTTTCCATCGAACCAAACGAGCTGTTATATCTTTTTATTTGAAAATTGTGCACAAATAACATCTTGTTTAGTTACAAATTTCTGATTTTTCTATTTTTATCTTTAATTTTTCAAATTTCATTTATTTATTTATTTTATATGGAAAGTATAAAATGTGTTCATGTGCAATCATTTTTCAATTTATAAAGTACGCAATTATTTGAAATTTAATTATCGATTTCTTTATATAAATAAATAAAGGGAAAATGGTGCTTTTTCCCCCTGAGTTATATACTTATAGCACTTTTCCCCCCTGAATTATTTAAGTGACTTTTTCCCCCCCTAAAATGTTAAATGGACATATTTACCCTTAAAATAAATATTTAAAATAAATATTTCATTTATTTTTCTTCTCCAATAAATTATTACTATAATTTGGTTCAAACCAAACAGATACGATAGCAACCAAACCAAAATATTCCAATTACAATTTAGAACCAAAACGCGATATTTAGAGTTTATTAAAATCGCAAATCGAAATGGCCGGTTCATGTTCCGAACTGAAAAAATAAAATACATTTATTGTTGAATTTAGACTATTTTAAAATAAAAATAAAATAAAATTTAAAATAAAGACGATTCAAAATCGCGAACCGGATCCGGAACTGCCGGTTCACGGTTCATGATCCAGTTTTTTTGGTTCATAAATTTAATAAATTGAAATCTAAATATTGGATTCTAGATCTGAATCATAACCGAAAATTTTTAATTCGATTGCTATAGTGTCCGGTTCAGTTCGAATCGAACCGTGGTCATTGCTACATATACACAATAATTTGTTGGAGAAGTAAAATAAATAAAATGTTTATTTTAAGGGTAGAAATGTCAATTTAATATATCAGGGGGAAAAACCACCACTTTTAAAATAATTGAGGGGGCTAATGTGCTTACATAAATAATTGAGGGGGAAAAAGTACTATAAGTATATAACTTAGGGGAAAAAAGTGCCATTTTCCCATAAATAAATGTAAGAAGCTAATATTAAATTGTGATGAGATACTAAAGTTGTTGAAGGAACAAATGTTCCTTGTGGTAAGACTATTGACAAAGAATGTTGGATAAAGCAAATGATAATTGTGATGAATGTAGATTCGGTAACCGGGCCAAGCACATTGTGCTCCGAAGACATGTCACTCTCCGACAGAGCCTCAGTGGAGATGTTGTTGACTCAGATAGGTTGATAAAGTATATTTAAACAGATATTACAATGTAATAGAGTCATAATTAGAGTTAATCTATTTTTTGTAATAAATGTATAGGTGACAGTCCACTTTTAGTTTTTTTTTTTATCATAACATACATTTTTTTATCTTATTATTATTGTGACATGACTAATTTTGGTCCTCTATCAAAAATATCATTGAAATTGCGTTAAATACAAGAGCATTTCGCTCTTCAATTATAAAATTTTTTAATAAATAAACATAAAATATATAACGGGTCAACACACTTTGTATTATAAAGATCAAAATGTCATTCTATTTAACGAAATTTCAACGATTTTATTGATAGAGAACTAAAATTGGTCATGTCACGATAATACTATGATCAAAAAGAGATATTTTGATTTTAAAAAAAATGACTAAAAGTAAACTGTCACCTATAAATCTATGACAAAAAATGAAACTAACTCATATAATTATTGTAAAGCGATTCAAATATGTGTGGACATCCAACTTTGCTATTGTCCTCAGATGGTGAAGCATGTGTGGCAATAATGAAGGTGAATAGGTGATGGTGAATATTTCAATGATCGTTATTACAATTAAAATTGGTACATGGATTGAAGTAGCAGCACATGATGGATAAAATTGAAGAGAATGTGGTGTTTGAGGGGAAAAAAAAGTAAGGAAATTAATTATTAATGTCAACTTTCATATAACAATTTATTATATCGCAATATGTCACCTAAATCAATTAACTATATATTATTACGCATAACTGCAATTTGAAGAGTTGCAAAATATTGTATATTTGATGGGTCATTTATTATTATTTTTTTTAATGAATTCAGTGGTATAATTGTATTATATCAAGTAATTAAGGCTAACCATATTAGTGTTTTTTTTTTTTTTTTTTTTTTTTACAAATTTTTAGGTAAACAATGCTGGTGTGGATGAGAGTGAAATTTTGAGCTCCTCATACAAATAGTGATTTTTTTTTTTGGAATTCGCAAGAGAGAGAAAGGGGAAGGGAAAGGCGCGGTGGCTTGCGTGGGGCGCACATATCACACCCAACTGCACGTGCCCGCTGGCACGTCATGCCCTTTGTTTTTTTATTTTCTTTGGTGTCAGCTGTCAAATATGTCTTTTTTCCTTTTTTATATTTTTCCTTACTCTCTCCCTCCTAATTAGCATCTCAAAAATCATTCCAGAAAACTGATTATTGATGATGCCCTAATAGACCTCCTTGATAATTTTCTCATAATATAATAATATATAAATTAAGTTTTTATTAAAAATATAGTTGTAGAAAATACATTAATCAACATCAATGAACCTTATTGCATATGTGGCGAATGTTTCCTTTATAATAATCACTTAAAGCATCCCTAAAAAAAAAAAAAAAAAAAAAAGAAAAAAAAGAGAGAGAGAGAATATAGTGTCAAGAAAAAAAAATGAATGATTTACGCGCCGATGCCCACATACGAATGATATTATATATATATCTTTCTTCTCCACTCTCACCTCAAGGCACTTTCTCTCTCATCTAACAATGCAACAACTCAAAAGACGACCCCTTTTGAAGTTTTGGGTTGCTCTTACATACGTAGTCTATATCGCTATTGGTGTTGGTATTATTATAATTGTTTTTTTAATTATCACTATCACTTGTGTAATTATGTACTCCGTAATAATTATCCATTTATTCTTATTATTGCATTTAATTTCAATGGAAATTATGTGTGATTTAAATGTGATACTTATATATATGATTGGTAAAACGGTTCAACATGTGAGGACCTATAATGATATTGGCGAGATATAAGAGTTGTGTGTTGTGCTTCTTGCAATGTATTCTGGTGATGCACAAATAATTATTGTCATGGTTTATCCCTCCTTATGATATATATATATATATATATATATATATATATATATATATATATATATATATATATATTGTGTGTGTGTGTGTGTGTGTTTATAGATGTATTCAATTCAATTACTTATTTGTCATTAATTATTACTGTATTTTTTATATATTAGGTATCCTAGCTTATGATAGACTAATCATAAATTATCGAGTCCTGTCCAAAAGTCGTTGGATGAGGTAAAGCATGGAACGCCCCGTCAATCCTCAAGTTTTAATGGATCTTTATCTCCTCTGATTGGTCAAGTTATCTTAATAACCTCCAAATTTATAATAGACTGATGAATAAGTCTTTAAGGTGATTAGTCGAACCAAATGAGATAACCCGTGATCGAAAATCAAGATGGAGGATTAAATGTGATAAGATTCAAATACTCATGATTCTTTACAATGTAGTATCTAATCTATATTTTAAAAAATCTAAACCTCCACCATTGAAGTTTAAATTTATGACCACCATTTAGAATGGTAACCGGAATTACATTAAACTACATGGTAATAATTGGCTACTATGAAAATAATATAATAATCCAGAAACAAAAATGAAACAAATTCAAATGATATATATTGAGTAAAGTTTTGCTACATGTACTCCTTATTTATACTCATTCATGTTTTATTTTTATGTGACTATTGATGGTTAGTTATCTTTATCACCTGAATAATAATGAAAATGTTAAAATTAAAATGTTGTGAACAAAGTAAAATTGACAGTAAAATTTGAGAGTATAATTAGTATTTTCGAGCAATAACGTGAAAAAGAAATTTCCAGATGGTCTCAACTTATCCGAATAGAGGTATAATATAAATATACGGAGTACTATACGCTACACTAGTACACTCAGCTTCTTCTTCACTGTCCCCTGTATACGGACGGGCGAAACCCTCTCCTCCCTAACCTTCTCTCTCCCCATTTCTCCAGCTAGGTATTCTGCTTCTCTGCGCCCAATTGGAAGTTCTATTCTTCATTTCCGTTCCGTCTTACTGTACTCTCATTCCATCACCTGATAGCTTTCTCTCTCTAGAAATTCCAGCTCCCATTCTCTCCCTAGATGTATATATATGTACCTCTAACGAGTTGTTTTGGGATTTTCTTTCAGTGCTGAGACCGAGCTACTGCCCAGAAAGTGTAGGAGGTTTGATGGCGAAGACCAAACCCGGGAAGAAGGATCTCGATTCGTACACAATCAAGGGCACCAACAAAGTCGTCAGGCGTAATGAGAATTTCTTCTCTCCTCTTTTTATCTCTCTCCGTGATGTGATAAATTTTGAATTTTGGTCTTAAAAGCTATCTGCGATTTCTTTTACAGATTTGGTGTACCTAAAATTTGATTTAAAAAATGCTACTTGGACTCTAGGTCATTTGCTTTCTCCTCAAGCGTCGAAAATTTTGTCGAATTTCTGGTTGTGAATGCTTGATTTTTAGGTTCAGCAGTGAATTTTCCTGTTGTTGTGCTAGAATTTATTGTGTTGTTTATTTAGTTACCCGAGTCGAGCTATATGGATATGTGTGCACTTGAGCTATGTTTACACATATTAGTCCATGTGTTAGTTAGTGTGTTAACACACTGATATGTTTGTACCTAAAGATGACAAGCTTCCTTTTTTAAAAAGAAAGTTATTTAGGTGATCTTAGTTACTCAAGGCATTAATGGGAAAGCTATGGATAAATATAAGTATGCTATGTGCATACATATGATCCATATGTATGCTTGCATTTGCTTCTTGTTTCCAGTAATGAATCTTATTTTCCATATGCATCATGTGTTGTTGCTTGGTATGTAAGCTGGCATGGCTTCTTTTGCATATATTGTAGATAAGTAGACTGTATTTTACTCCAAATGACTTTTGAATATTATTAGCTAAAATACTTCTTTGCAGCCGGTGATTGTGTCTTAATGAGACCATCAGATTCAAATAATCTCCCATACGTGGCAAGAGTTGAGAAGTTTGAAGCTGACCACCGGAACAATGTGAAGGTACGAGTGCGGTGGTATTACCGACCTGAGGAATCAAAGGGTGGCCGCAGACAGTTTCATGGGGCCAAGGAACTATTCTTGTCAGACCACTATGATATACAAAGTGCACAAACAATTGAAGGAAAGTGCATTGTGCATTCTTTTAAGAACTATACCAAGCTGGATAATGTGGGCGCTGAGGATTACTTCAGTCGATTTGAGTACAAAACTGCCACTGGAGGGTTTACTCCTGACCGTGTTGCTGTGTGAGTTTCTCTTCCTTTTTCTATATAACTATTTAGAATTAGTTACAATAATTGGAATTTGAGCAATATTAAGTTATTACTTGCCTACTGCAGTGACTAATCTTTTGTCTTTCTGAAGGTATTGCAAGTGTGAGATGCCCTATAATCCTGATGATCTCATGGTTCAGTGTGAAGGATGCACAGATTGGTATGTGCTTTGTCTCTATTATTTTATCTCTTTACATGTTTGAATTCCAGTTGCTCCTTTACCTATGGGCTTACAGGTTGGATTGGTTAAGCAATTCTGATAGCTAGGCATTCGTTGCTTGTGAGAGGAATTAGGGAAAAATTGATAGTGCAATGTCAAACCATTCTAAGAACAAAATGCAGTTTAATTAATTAAAAATAAAGAGGAAGCTTATCGTGTCATGCCTAATGGTGCTGAATGAGCCGGTTGTCTCTAGGTGAGTTGAGTAATAATTAGGGCCATCCATTTAATTAATGGCTTAATCAAGTTTAATGATAGATAGGTTTATGCGGGGTTTATGGTGTAGCTTGATGGCTAGTGATATATTAATGACCTAATAATATTTAAATGGATGTATCTATTTGTTACTCAACCTATCTTGGCTAGTCCATAACCAAGCCAATTGACCCATTAAGCACCTATGATCATACCCACTAACTCTAAATGGTCATAAAAATTAGAAGAACCTAGGAAAGTTCACCCCCCTCTTTACCACTTATTATTCTTTGAATTGACAGTTTCTGCTTTAAACACATGCTGAAGATTTCCTGAAATAAGTTATGGGGGATTGAGAGTATTCATGGAACTGTGTGACTATCTTTTTTGTTATAATAATGATTAGAAATTAATTGTTGTTTACCTTAATTGCATCAATGATTAATACAACTAACCAATTTATCAGAATGAAAGTTTTCCTTTCACAGTAGTGTGTTTTTAGATCCCCATCTTCTTCCATAAGAATCTTAGAACGTTGTATCATATGGAAGAGCAATATCCATAGCTACTTGTAGTTCTTAATGTGGCTAAAAGGAAATAGCTTTTCTGTGTCAACCATGTAGAAAATTACTACTCATCCTAAAATATAGGTAGGTCTTATGTTTGTTTGAACATTGAGTTCTACAATTATATGAATAGAAATAGACTTAAGTTGAGCCATGTACTGCCCCTAGTGTATATTATATAGCCTAAAAACGGTTATGTACATGTGAGATCTTTCAGCACGTATTCTCAATTATTACCTAAGCTATATCAGTGAAGTGCCACCATGAGAACTGTTATGGATCAATACATGCTGTTTAACTGATGAAAACTAAAGCTTGTAGGCATCCTAATTTTGAGGTGAATGGAAAACAAGAATTAACTTGGAAAAAAATCAAGTGTGTTTAAAACCAAATAAGAGCCCTGGTGCTAAATGTCATGCTTCTGACTTAGTTTATCTTGATATGTGGGATAAAATTCTTCTTAGATTTCCAATATTATATTACATAACTAAATTGTTGCTTGCAATTACATAATGCTATGATTCTTTAAAGATACTGTCATCTACTCACTTAGATTGTCCTGCTGTATGGGGTTACAGTCTTATTAGGTTTCCAGTGCTATATCACTTAACCAGATTTTGCATTGCGATTACCAATTTAATAGTCTACATTTATGCTAACAAATTTATTGGTAGACAATTGGTCAAACTATTTTCTCCATCCTCCCAAAGTCTCTAGGTCAAATTTAAAAATGAGAAACTTCTAATGCCTGAGATGCTTTGGAGCAGATACGCTAGGTGGGGACTGCTGGTTTTAAGGGATCCTAATTCAGAAATGAATTGCATATCCATTAGGCATCCGTTAGAAATACATGACACCTTTACCAAGTTAAAAGAACAGAATAGGAGACTGTACCTTTTCTGGAAAGAAGATATGAGATCTCATGCGAATTTTATTTTTGTTTTGGAAAGTTAGAATGTATTGCAATTTTATTACAGAGTAATATATTGTATCTTTAAATTCCAAGTTTCATGACTATAGAGTTCTTTTCTACCTAATTGTGCAGAATAGCAGATGCACTTTTTTTTTTTCTCCTCACATTTGATTTAGTACAATTAATAAAATTGCAGGTTTCATCCTTCCTGTATGGGGATGACCATTGATGAAATAAAGAAGTTAGAGCATTTTGTGTGTTCAGACTGCTCAGGTGAAGAGGAGGCTAAAGTGCAAATGGACTCATTTCGTGTACCTCGGGAGGTGAGTGCAGTTTTCCCTTATGTTCATCATCATCTCTTTTGAGAAGCCAAAACTTACAATAAAATTTTAATTTAATTGGTGAAATAATGGTAATTTTCGTATTCATTTTTTGACTACCTTGTGCTGTTTGTCAAGTCCTATCCCTACTCCCTAGTGCTGTTTCAGTAATGAGCCAAGCCCACATATATATAAATAGGGTGTCCTAAGTGTATTCGAGACACAAATAGCTATAAACTATAAAGCATTTCTTTTGTTGAGAATGAGAGAGCTGAAACAGTGGAGATAAAATCATACGCCACTGTTTGCTTGCTTGCACCGACTGGACTTGAGTTAAAAAAGTGAATGAGAAACTAAATTTGTTGAGACTCATGCTTCTAACTCTTCATTATTTGTGTTCTTTATTCCATCTATTGTTTCATGCTAGGGGGAGACAAAGCGCCGAAAGAGAACTGGTTGAGCTTTGTGCAGCGGTGGGGGTGCCGGGAGGGAAGGTTTTTCTCTTGGCCAAAGCTCAGCATTGTTGTTGTGTTGTAAAATTGTACAGTGCTGATGATGCTGAGCTTTTCAACCAACTAGTAACTATTGCTTAATTTTGTGTACTAGTTTTGTAATTATGTATGTTATGTGTGTACTAGACTGAGATGGTAGCAAACTGATAAACTCCAGTTCTCTGCCATGTTGTGACCTAAAAAGGATAATATAATAGCTGGAGACTTTAGAATCCATTTCAAAATAAATTTTTAAAAAAAATGGAAACCACTGACCGGACTTAATTGTGGGTTCCGGGTGGTAGATTGTGGAAGACATAGGATCGAGTTTCGTTTTTTTTTTTTTTTTTTTTTGGTGGGTATCGGACATTGGTTTTCTCACTTAATGGATCAGTGAGTTACCTTTATTTATTCATGTTGGGGGTGTGGAGGTTCTAGGGGTGAGGAAACTTGCCTTTTGTAGGCAAAAAATAGAAATCACACTAAATCTGACTATAATATGTGGGTCAATAGCACTCTTTTGACAACTGAGTGAAGATCAACATTAATATAATATAATATAAATGTGATATAGCATTAGATTGTGATCACAATATTGCACCTTCACTGCACAAACAGTGCACGCACTACAAATCAAATTCTAAAAAGTTGTATAATTTGCACACGGGATACAAAAATCAATTTTGAACTCTGTAATTTACACGCAAAATAGAAAAATAAAAAATAAAAACATATTTGTTATTTACTGAGCAACTAAACCCACACCTCACGCGTTTAGCGTCACTGGCTTTCATTTGTTTTCACTTTCAACCCTCTCTGTTGGCTTTCTAAATTAATTATAAATTCTGTAATTTTAAAAAATAAATATATTTGTCCATTATAAAATTTGATTGAATTTTAAAATATTTTTCTTTTTTTAATATTTGCTTTCCTTAGTAGATTGCATTTGATATTTATATCACCAATACAGATTCTCAAAAAACAATGTATATATTAACAGTTTTCAAAAAAAAAAAAAAAGTTTTCAAAAAAAAAAAAAACAATTAACAATCAATACAAATTTAATAATGGTATCGGGAATAAAAAGAGTTGGTACACAACTTACTGCCATTGTTACTTCACTATTAATTGTAATTATTAATACAGTGTGAATGCAATTAGATTCAAAGCTAACTCATGGCATTAACACCTTGGTTAATAATAAATAATCAATGCATCAATGCACAACGGAAATGACAATATCGGCTATAATCCAAAATGACGTCGCGTGATTTGGGCGGGAAAATGTAATGATTTCATTGGTCAAAAGTTATGACTTTATTATATAGAAAGGAGTTAATACTCAAAATGGTCCCTCGACTATGCCATAATTACCAATTTGGTCCTCAACTACCATTCTTACTCAATTAAGTCCTCAACTATGTAACTTTTACTCAATTAAGTCCTCAACTATACAATTCTTACCCAATTTAGTCCTCAACTATACAATTCTTATCCAATTTAGTCCTCTGTATTAATTTGACTGTTTGTTGACTGTCAAAAGTCGGGATAAAATTATAATTTTACAAGATTTCTCCTTTCTCTCCATTTAGCAGCGCCAAACCATGCAGCAATACACTCCGATTAGATTTCGATCGTCAAAAAATCGTTGGAAATCAAATTCATAGGCTATCCGATGCATAACCACTACTTCGATACTGACAGGTTTAGAACCCAACCAGAGCTTATTGCTACATGGTTTGGCGCTGCTAAATGAGGAGGAAGGAGAAAACTTATAAAATTACAACTTTATTTTCACTTTTGACAGTCAACAAACAGTCAAATTGACAAAGGACTAAATTAGGTAAAAATTGTATAGTTGAGGACTTAATTGGGTAAGAATGATAGTCGATGACCAAATTGGTAATTATGACATAGTCGAGGGATTATTTTGGGTATTAACTCTATAGAAAGATAGTAAGATGTCTCAAGTTTTGTCAATATAGGTTCTTCATGTATATATGTGCAGAATATGTGCAACAAGTAGCATTTTTCATTAATATGTATATGAACTGAAATTGAATGATTGAATTGCATATATACAAATGCAACAGACAATGGGTTTTGGAATTTTGGCACTTCATCTACCCGAAAGCAATGAATCTGCAGAGATAGAAGTGTCGATCGCCTGCTACAAGAAGAAAACACAGAAGGAAAGGAATACCTCACAAACCTCCACATACATGAATTGATAATGAAAAGAGTCTGTTTGCCTGTGTTGTTAGATTGTGAATGTATATAAACCCGATTTTTTGTGTTGTTAAACAAATTTGGAGAGTATAAATTAGGATATGTTTGAGCTTTTATCTTCACACTAAACATGTTTAGTGTGACAGTGCTCTAAGCTGAAGCTCGTCATCGCTGCTCTGGTTTGTGGTTGTTGTTTAGCTAGGTTGCCTCGCCGGCGAGATTTGTGAAGACGAAGCTCATCGCCGCGGCTCTAGTTTGTGTTTGCTCTTTACCTAGGTCGCTGGTGGTGAACACAAATTAAAAGCTACTCCGTATTATTTTTTAATTCATACTTGGGGCTTGTTTGGTTATCAGCGGTAGCGGGTTGTGTTAGCGGTTATCAGATAGCGGATTGTATTAGCAGGTTTGACCAGCAGATTGTATTAGCGATTTATAAAAAAGTATTTAGTAAAATTATCTATTTAGATTAGCGGTTAACATGTAAAATGACCATAAGGATATACATTATAATTTATAATTTATAATTCATAATAATAATTAAAAAAAAAAAAGAACGAAAGAAGGGAGCAGCACAAGCTGCTCCCCTCTTGTATTCCCACTTTTCCTACCGTCCCACATCGGTGGGAAAAGTGAGAATGGAGCCTTGAGGCGCCTCAAGGCTCCACAAATTTGTTGCCCATCCCAGATGGGCAACATTGAGGAGCTGTTTTGGCTCCTCAAATTAAGGAGCCATTTCGGCTCCTCATTAAGTTTTAAGTTTTTTTTTTTTTTTTTTTAAAAATATATATATATATATATAAACAGGGGCGTTTTGGAGAAAATTTAATTTTTTCCAAAATGCCAACTGCAAACGCTGCAAAGTGCAGCGTTTGCAAAAGTAGCGGTTTGGAGCAAACCGCTGCTAACCAAATGATTTTTTTTGGCGGTTTGACCATGTCAAACTGCCAAAAACGGCGGATCCGTCAAAAAATGACGGATCCGCCAATAACCAAACATGGCCTTGGATTGGGAAAATAATTCTAGATATTACTGTCCATGCTAATTTTGAACAAATAAGCAAGTTTTACAGTGGAGAAGAGAGTAAAATATAGAAAAGTTGAAGAAAATAAGGTGAAATATGCATGTGAAAGCTTAAATATTTTAATTTCCGTCCAGCAACAACAATGTTGGACGGTATTTAATACTACCTACCATTTTGCTATTCACCTACTAGTCAATTCTGTTTTCCGTCCAACGAGTAACCGTTGGGTGGAACGTTTAGCGTCAGTCGAAACTTCCATCCAACGTTTAGCGTTGGATGAAAATACCGTCCAACTTTTCGTTCATTCCTTTTTTGTGATTAAAAATTGTAATATTTTACAAATTACCGATCAATATGATTATTGGACGAAAATAGTGAAATTTACATCAATGTAACTTCTTCTAACCATTCAGGGTTGTGAAAGTTCATTCACATTTGAAATTTCTAAAATGTTATATGAACTATTTGTTTTTGGCACAATTGCGTAAAAATTGTGTAGAAATCACAATCTCACGTTGTTTATTAAATATGGTGACAGAAAGCATATATTTGACAGGTTCCCAACCATCTACACATTCTATGGTGGAAAGATGATCTCATCCCATCGCATCGGTGATTGCATTACTGATTGAGCCACTTTTCAAGATTTTATTCACATGCCTATTGGCTTCCCCACCGACACAACCACCACCCTCCCCAACTACATGTGTTATATGCCTTTGTACTACTTAAAAAAATATAACATAAACCACACAAATTTAGCTTAATAGTTCAGTAGACAGTATTTGAAAGAAGGGATCAAAGTTCGAATTTCAACAACAACAAAGTAAGAATTATGTTTAAAGTGGACAAATCTTCTATGCGCACTAACATTTGGCACTATTTGCTGAGTCATTATGCTTCCTAAATGTTTTATCGAGTTGAATGTGGAACCTTTGGGGTTGAGAATTTAATCTTTTAGAAGAAGACAAATATAACATATCAATTCATATCAAAGTATTAAAAGTGCTTTTAACTTTTCTATGATACATTAGACATCTTAATTTTAAGTTTTCAATGTTAATGGGATAGAAAGTGATGGAAAATGTTATATTTTATAATGATAAGTTGAAATCTTGAATATTGATTTGATCTATTGCCATAATTCCATCCATATTCGAGTATTTTTATAAGTATATTGGCTTTTTCTGTTTTTAGATTGAGGCGATTAAGCTATGATTGTTTAAGAAAATCAGCTTTGCAAAAACGCCGACGAGCGGTGCGGTGTTGTATGTACACGCCTCAGTCTGCATATAATTCCCTCTCCGATCATCAAAGTTATCTCGTCGGCCTGGTCCTCCGACAAGCGCCCCGTAAAGCACGTTCGGGTTGGGCGCGTTGCGGCCGTACCAATTATCATACCCCTGAGTGCACCCGATAAAACCCTGGTTCTCCCTGAACGACACGATGGAGGCGGATCTGTGGTGGACCCGCTTTGGGTAATTTGGGCCGAAGCCCACAAGATAGCTCATGTTATTCGGGTTGGAGCCCAATATGTAGTCCACTTGCGATCTCACGAACCCGAGAATCTCTTCGCCGTCGGCCTCTCCGGCGGGACACCTCAGCTTTTCGCCGGAGCTCCTGAGGAGATCCGAGTACAATGTTAGCAGGAACGACGCCGACGAGACGTACTGCATGTTGTTCCATTGGCGGACGTATAGGAGGCCGGCCGGCGTCCGCTCGACGTTGCCGCCGGCGCCGTTCTTGTTCAGGCACGAACACACGTAGTGTTCGGCTTTGGACCGGTACTGCTCCAGAACGTCACGGTGGTGGTGGTTCCGGTGCCTTCCTTCTTGGAGCATCTGTACTTGCCAAACATGTAACAAAACCAAAAAAAAAAAAAAAAACAATAAGAATAACTATAACATTTATACCAACGATCGTGTAGTGTGATAGCATCCTATTACTATTCCAATTAGATGATCATAAATTCAAACTTCGGTGGTTGAACTTAGATTTTTTAGACTGAAATAGTTTAAAAAAGTATAGAACACATATTACCTTGTAAAGAATCACGAGTATTTCAAAAACTATAATATTTATCCCTTGCCACAACGTTGGAGAACATATAGTGTGAGTAATGTTAATTCCCAAAATATTGGGGGTCCCCTTATGAACGTACCATGTGGTTCTAGCGACTGGCTTGTCATATCAATTAAGACACTGCTCCCTCTAGATCTACTTATATTTTTTAAAATCTATCAATAATATCATAACTTACAAAAACTAAGTACAAGAAAATTTCATACAAGTTGCTCATACAGTCAGACATTGACTTGAGAGTTATAAAATTATAAATTCATTTTTTTTAGTTTAAATTGATTAACAGACAATTTAGACTAGTTTAATTTATGATGATCTTTCACCGACTAAATTTAACATACACACTATCAATGATTGTGCATTTTTTCTTGTCACTAAATATTGAATGCAAATTTTTTGGTAATCCAAAAAAATATTGGGTTTAATGGTATGGAGAATTTGATGGGTCTCTTTTAAAGGCTGTCATGGTACGGTATGAAAGCACGTGCCTGGTTGCAGCCATGCAGTGTGATTTTATGCAAATTCGATACCTTAATTTACGCATACTTCATCAGCCACGTTAGACTACAGCCTTAATTATTTTTTATATTTTATAACATAATAAAGTGGGATTATAATTTCGAATTTGACTGAAAGAGAAAAAGCAGATTTGACGGAGACCAACGTCGGCATTACCTTTTATTTTTTATTTTTGGAGGGAGGGGAACAAAACGCCCTTTGATCACGGTTTTATTTTACTTAATTCATTTTCAAACTTCTAATCCCTAATTTCACTCTTACTCTCATCTAAAGAAACGAAAAGTATTACCCTAATTCTAGACATATCAATCAATCAAAAAAGGTGACCGACGAAACATGATTATCCTAAATGAAAGTCCAAAATTTTTCATACACAATTTTCTTAATGTGATTTATCTCTCTTATATGATGATAAGAACAGTAATCACATTTGCCCCCTAATTACACTATTCACTCGAACAACTAAGGCCTTGTTTGGTAAATGACTGGTATCTGTTAGCTGATTTAGTTAATTAGAAAATATAACTAATTGATAACATTAGCTGATTGTAGAGAGGTGTTTGGTAAACTAGCGGTTAACTGATAGCTGTTTGGTATAATTTCTATTTATATGCAAACAGTTATACTACTCACTCAAGTCAACAACTAATTTAAACTTTTCCAGTTTCACGATACTGCCATGCCGCAGTCATATTTGAAAATGAACACCATAATAGAGAGAGAGAGAGATTGATAATTTAAAAATAAAAAAATATAATTTGAATTTACCTGGGAAGCAATAATTTGAAGGCCAGCATATTTAACGTCCCAGCTGAACTCAGTAATGGCCCAGGTGGTGCCACCAAAGGAGTGACCCTGCTTTATTGCATAATCCAAATACTCTTCATTGTCGGTGGCTCTGTATAGCCACATCGCTGCCCACAATAACTCGTCCCCATACCCACTCAACGATGCATAATAGTTTTTCGCCACTCCCACGCTGCTATCATACTTCCCCCTATACTTCTCCCCAAACTCGAACAACTGCGCGTCCACATACACACACATTAATATCTCACAATACCCTAGCCCGACTTGACAGAACATGCGAAATGACAGTAACTCAATAACTAAACAGATAAGAGTTAAATATGCCGATATGCACAAAGGATCTACTCACTTTAAGTATAATCCTCACACTGTCAGTGTCGAGTTTCAGATTTTAAATTTTCTCGTAAATACTACCTACTGGTTACTAAGTTAAACTAATCTCGGTATGACATTGACTCTCTGTGTTGATATATTACTTCATTGAAATAGAGTCAATAGTATTAAACAAAAAAAGGTTTAATTATTTTCTCATGATTAATAAAATTATTAATTTTGATTTAATTTATAATCTTGACAACTACAAGTCAACAATTTTTCCACGAAGGAGCTAACAATCGGTGGACTCGTGTACGAGTAAGACCAGTCGATAATGTTGCGATGATTGTGGTCGTAAAAGGTTTTCTTATCATGCGGATTTACGGGGCAATTAGATTTCATGTCGGTTACCAATCTTGTCATTGAATGACATAATTATGGCTTAATTCAACTTTTCACAGATCTTAAATATTTTTAGCATGGGGAATATATTTAAATAGAAAATTAGAGGAAAATATCAATTTTCAATAGGAAATTGTTTTTTGTCAGTTTTGGTAGTACTTTGTAGTTTGTGATAATGAAATTAAAATGTTTTAATTTAGTGCGTACCTGCTGGGCATGGTGCAACAAGAGGTGAGAATAATGCGGATTAGTTTTGCGGAACACGATCGAGGCGGCGGCCATGGCGGCGGCTGTCTCTCCGGCGAGATCCGACCCGGGATTATTCTCGTCGATCTTGAAAGCTCGCCGGGACGTCGTCATGTCCTCCGCCCGCTGCCAGCAGTAGTGATCGGTGTCGCCATCGCCGACCTGCAAAAATCTCGGCATTTTATCGCCTGCAAAAAAGTATGTATAAAAGGGAAGAGAAAGCGAAATTACGGAAATGTTCGTTAATCGTTATACCTCAGCCCATAACACATTGGGGCTAGTATGGGCTTTGATGAAGTAATCAGTGCCCCATTTTATGGCCTCAAAGGCGTGCTCCAGTTCCCCTGCACCCGCAATCTCCGCGCCGTACTCTATCACTCCCCATGACAGCATTGTCGCCGTGAACGCCATCGGCAGCCCAAACTTCACATGGTCGCCGGCGTCGTAGTACCCGCCGACCAAGTCCACCTTCTGTTCCAGGCCGTCGGTCAGGCCGGAATGGTGCCGCCACGTCACTCTCTGGTTGTACGGCAGCCGGCCGGACCTCTGCGCCTCGAAGTACAGGAGAGACTTGGAGAGGGCGTCGGCGTAGTCGAAATTGGGCTCGCCGGCGGCGAGAACTGGGGAGAGAGACAGGAAAACAGAGAAGAGTCTGAGAAATTCGGAGAAATGGAGATAATGTGGGGCCTGATTCCTCTCCTTTCTCTTCCTCTTCACCATCGCCATAGCCATTCGCCTTCTTCTCCTAAAGACGTTTTAGGAGTGAATTTGAATCGAAGGACTAAAAGTACAGAGAGAGAGAGGGAAGAGCAATGGACAGGCTTGTTTTCATAAAGTTTATTAAAGAGACCTCACTCTCGTACCCATATTTTAAATTTGGACAGTCTATCATTCTTGATTAGGAAAAAATGATATTAACATTGATTACAAGTTTATTTGTGATTAAATTGTTATAATCTCAACCTAATAATTTGGAGGCAGTTTGGTCAAGGAGAGAATTAGGAAAAAAATTACTGTGAGAACAAAGTAATAATCAAATTTTATTGTTTGGTAAGCATGGATATAATTACTAAAATTTTCGTCCCTTTTTTGCATGTTACCATATTATCAGTTTCTTTTCGTCCCTTTTTTGCAGGTGTGAGCGTGACAGGTCTCTTGATTTAGCACCAATTGCTGAGGACAAGAAATTATCCAGAATTGAGTTTCTTAGCCTTACACGAAGAGCCTCCAGTGAGAAAGTTAAGAAAGCGGTGTTTGGCATAAAGAAGTTTGGTAGTCCGGGGCCCGATGGGATTCCGGCAGCCTTTTATCAACACTTCTGGGAAGACATGGGACTGGCCCTAACGACTATGGTCAATCATGCTTTTAATTCCGGAGAAGTTCATAAATCTCTTTTGCAGGCATTCGTGTCTCTTATACCTAAGAAAGAAGCTCCCGAATCGGCTGCGGATTTTAGACCGATTACTCTGCTAAATGTGGCTTTCAAAATTATTTCCAAAACGTTGGTAAATAGGATGAGACCTATTATGTGCAGGATCATCGGCCCTCATCAGAATAATTTCTTACCTGGACGTTCGACGCTGGACAACGTGGTTCTCACCCAGGAAGTTATTCATTCCATGAACAAGAAACAGGGAAAAAAAGGTCTCATGATTGTCAAAGTTGACCTGCATAAAGCTTATGACAGCGTGGACTGGGGTTTCCTTGAGGACACGTTAGAGAAGTTTGGATTCCCGGGAAATCTTATCAACCTAATTCTTTTTGCTTTACGTGAGAGTGATATCTCCATTCTTTGGAACGGTGGCCGGCTTCCGTCCTTCGCACCGGGGCGGGGCATCCGTCAAGGTGACCCGCTTGCCCCCTACTTATTTAATCTCATCATGGAGCGTCTGGCTTACGATATTCAGGACATGGTAACTGTAAAAACTTGGAAGCCGTTACATGTGACCCGAGGAGGGATTGGTCTCTCTCATATCTTCTTTGCGGATGACTTGCTGCTCTTTGGAGAAGCTTCGGATAACCAAGCAGAGGCAGTTATGAGCTGTCTTGACAAGTTTAGTAAGGTCTCTGGCCTCAAGGTAAATTACTCTAAATCCTTTATCTTCTGCTCTCCAAACACTTCTGCAGGTGTAAAAAGAAGGATCGACGAAAAGACAGGTATTCCAGTGGGAGATCATCTAGGCACTTATCTGGGTATTCCCATGCTTCATAAGCGTGTCTCTAAACACACTTTCTCTTCTGTCATCGATAAAATGAGGAAAAAGCTATCAATGTGAAAAGCAAGTGCGCTAAGTATGGCAGGTAGGAGAACTTTGGTCCAAGCTTCTCTTGCCACGGTCCCAACGTACACCATGCAATCTTTGGCCATCCCGGCAAGTACTACTAAGGATATTGACAAGCTTTGCAGGAATTTTCTCTGGGGACATGCCAAAGACACGAGGAAAATCCACACAATCAACTGGGGGGAAATCTGTAAACCCCGGGACGCTGGGGGCCTTGGTATTCGAAGATCTATTGATTTCAACATGGCGTTTCTCACCAAATTGGCCTGGCAAGTCTCGACCAATCAAAGCAAACTTTGGGCTAAAGTCATACGCGAGAAGTATATTAAAAATGGGGACTTCTGGACTGCCTCCAACACTGGCAATCCCTCTTGGGGCTGGCGTAGCATCTTGAAAGGCAGACAAATTCTTAAAGATGGGGTGCGTTGGAAGATTGGCACTGGTTCCTCAATTAGCTTTTGGCATGACCAGTGGATGGGAGATAAAGAGCTTTCGTCTCTTATTCCCCTCCCCATACCTGATACAGAATATCATAAAACGGTTAGTCACTTCATCTCAGATAGCAACGATTGGAAGGTGGCTGAATTGGAGATACTTCTACCGGCTTCTATGGTGGACTGCATTCGCGCTATCCCCATCCCCGTCTCAAGCGGCTCTGACGACATAATCTTTTGGCCTCACTCAGGTACTGGCATTGTCACCGTTAGTTCTGCTTTTTCCTTTATTTCAGGTACAGGGGACGAGTCAGACTCCTATGATTGGCTATGGCGCATCAAGTGTCCGGAGAAGATAAAAATTTTCATGTGGAAGATTGCTAAGGATGGTCTCCTAGTGAACAGCGAACGGGTAAGGCGTGGCCTCGCAGTTGACGGAATCTGCCCGATTTGTGGCACTGGTGACGAGTCTCTTGACCACCTTTTTAGACAGTGTGAAAGGACGATCGACTGTTGGCACCTTGTTGCTTCTCCACCTGGGTTCAACACCATCAACCATCTTCCTCTCTTCAACTGGATGAGGTTGGCCTGTACGGATGGTCTCCAAGGTGCTACTAATGACCCCTGGCGGCATCTCTTCCCCTTCATCTTGTGGCATATTTGGAAGGCTAGGAATACAGCTATATTCAACAACCTTTGGGCGTCCGCTTTGGACATTCTCAACTCAGCAAAAGCAGAAGCGGAAGGATACCAATGCGCCCTCAGGAAATTCAATGGCCCGTTGGTAGCTAAGCAAACATGGGTTCACTGGCTACCACCACAACCGGGGATAGTGAAACTGAATACAGATGGGGCGAAACGTTCCTCCACTGGCGTCGCTAGCGCGGGGGGCGTCCTACGAGATCACCAGGGTAGATGGATCACGGGTTTCACTACTAAAATTGGTAATACAGATAGCTTCGTTGCTGAGTTATGGGGTCTCCGGCAAGGTCTTTGCCTCGCAAAAGATCTTGGTTTACACTCTTTGTTGGCAGAAGTGGACTCTTTGGCAGTTGTGCAAGTTCTAAAGGGAGATACAAGTTCTTCTCCGGAGGCGGACACGCTTATTTCTGATTGTAAAACGCTTATGCGGTTCTTCCCAGTCTTTGACATTGTTCACACTCTCCGAGAAGGCAACCAGTGTGCGGATTTTCTAGCGAACTTAGGATAAAGTTTTCCGTGGGGGGTTACTATCCTTCCCCATCCTCCCGACGGGCTCACCCACATCCTGGATCGCGATGCGAATGGCGTAGCTACGAGACGTGTTATTTAGTTCCCTTGGGGCCTTGGCCCCTTCCCTCTACCAAAAAATAATAATAATAATTACTAAAATTTTTGATTATAGTACTTCAATTATAGTCCATGAAAAAAGGCAACCAGTGGTCGTTCTCTCTAGTTGGGTCACCTTTTCCGACAAGATGCGACCTTTGGTCGTATTATCTGACGAGATGCGACCTAGATGTGGTTGTTTGCTTCTGAAGTCGTCGGGGTGCCGGAATTTGAATGACCTGCAAGTAACCTACTATTGTAGCTCATTAATCAATTTTAGGGTTTCATTGCATTAAAATAGTTAGTTGAAGTGTTTAATTGCAATTTTTAGAAGTTTAGGGAGCCAATTACACTTTCATGTAAAGTTTTATGGCTTATTTCACCATTTTCCCAAAGAAATAAGTAGTATTAATATCAAAATGCTCATGCAATTTCAATTCCTAAGAAAAGATGTAGACTGGAGGACAATTTAATCCTTACACTCTAATCTTTATTCCCCATGCATTATGGGATTTGCAATTTCTCAAATTTGATGAATTGCAATTTCATAGAATTGACGCAATTCCTCCTAACTACTTCTAAAATTGTCCAGTTTTCGGAATCAAGTGAAAATGAATTGCAATATCTTTACACCAAACACCTCATAAGGTCACAAATTAAATTCTATAAGCGTGACCTGCATCAAATTTTAATTAATCTCATGTTATATTCTTAAAATAAAAAATTAGACTTTGAATCTGACTATTGAATCCACATTATTTCTCTTTCCTCAATGGTAAAAAAAAGAAAAAAAAAAAAAAGGGAGGAAATAAAGATGTATAAGTATAGTTAAGTACGTAAAGTAGTTAAACATGCATTATTTTCTATATTAAAAATATGATGTTTTTTGTTTTTACTAATAACTAGTATTTGCGCCCGTGCGATGCACGGAATGAATTTGTTGTAATATATTAAGAATATTTAGATTGATATATAATTATTTAAATTAGAATATCAAATATTATTTTGTGCAATTAAAAATATGATTTGGATCGTTTATATGTTTTGATGTTATCATTGCTTGAATTTGAGCAAATAATTGTTCAAATTAATAGCTAATGTGTAGATGTACGCATGCGGTGCTGTAACTTTGAAGATTTTATTTATCATTGATTAGTATTTTTATAAATTAGGCAAACGTGCTCATTCTTTAACAACTCAGTTATAGGAATGAATTGCTATCCTAATTCATTTGTATGGAAAATATTTTTTTTTGTCTATATATATATATATATATATATATATATATATATATATATATATATATATATATATATATATATATATATATATATATATATATATATATATATATATATAGCAATTTTGTCATTTAAAAAAATATAATATCATCGATTGTATTTAAACATTATTGAAACCTCATTGTATACGACATTGGTAGTAGCAAAAAATCTTGCCAATCCTCGTCTATAGTTAACATCTTCAGTCCATTACAATGGGTGACTCGGGCGAAAATATATATTCATAGAATATCAGTCAATTAGTGATCCTTTTATATTTTCAGTCAATTAGTAATATCATATTCATTTTCAGCCAATTATTCTTTCTTTTTTTTTTTTAAAAAATTTTCTGTCAATTAGTCAATTAGAATATCAGATGTAGTGATATTTTTACCTAATTTTCGTTCTATTTTTAATTGATGATGTAGAATATTATTGTTGAAATATTTCTATTCCATTTTTAATTTACCTTTACTATAATTTAAAATATGCATTTACTATTGATGATGTAGAATATTATTATTGAAATATTTCCGTCCAATTTTTAGTTAAAATGCAATGATCTGACCATTTTTAAAATTTTTTTTTTCACTTTAGTCAATTATGAATAATTTTTATTTGTAGTCAATCTTTTTATATTTTCAGTCAATTAGTAATATCATATTCATTTTCAGCCAATTATTTTTTCTTTTTCAGTCAATGAGTCAATTAGAAATCAGATGCAGTAATATTTTTACATAATTTTCATTCCATTTTTAACTGATGATGTAAAATATTATTATTGAAATATTTTTGTATGCCATGTAATACTAAAGTTGTTAGGTAAAATTTTTATAATTAAGGTATAATATTATTAAATCGAAATTATTAAAAATATATAGATCCACATTAAGAAAAATCTTATTAATTTCGGATATTAAAACTATATATTAGGATTAAAGTTGAAGTTATAAATAATTAAGTTTTAATAAATTTATTTATTTCTTAAGTTATATATGGTTAATAATAAATATTTTTTTATATTAGATTATGCTTATATATGGTTAATAATGAATATTTTTCTATATTAGATTATGCTTATATATGGTTTACCGTATTAACCATTACTATATTAGATTAATATATAATTTATTTAATATAATATGTTATTAAATCTAAACATATGATTAATATTTATTCAATATTATTATGAAAGTATTACAATTATAAATTTTATTATATTTTAAATGACTTAGCATATCAAAGCAAACATGGTAAGTCAATAACATTATTTCACATTAGAAAAGTGATTTGAATAAGAGAAGTCAGCTAAAGAATAAAATCAAAATAATACTCTATTCAAACTAAGCTACAGTACTTCATAATTTTTTTGTCCCCAAAAAAAAGTTTAAATGGCAAGAAAAACCTCTTGAAGGGAAAGACAAAGGCCCTGTTTGGTAAAAAGTTGGCCTATAGGCCAATTTGGCTTATTTGACCACAATTAATTGTTTGATTTAGTTAAAATATCAATATAAATGTTTGGTTAATTAGCTTTTTACAGCTTCAAAAGGCTAAAATTGAAAAAGCTACCCCAAGCAACTTTTTCAATTAGCTTTTTGAGAAAAGAAATTATACCAAACAGCTAATAGCTAATTTACCAAACACTTTTCTACAATCAGCTAATGTTATCAATCATTTATACCCTCTAATTAACACAATCAGCTAACAACTAACAGCTATCAGCTAACAACCATTTTACCAAACAGGGCCAAAGTACTCTCTTATTACAAAAAAAAATGCACACTTTAAAGACGAAGAGATTGAATTGAAACAAAGCTCAAAACTTTGATATATTGAAAACTAAAAAATGCTTTGAATTTCATTTTGGTTTTACTGTATTCTTATCAGGCTTCCCTCTATATCTCTTTACATATACACAGAATCCGTCCCTTCTCAAACCTTATCCACTTGATGAGCAACGAACTCTAGTGCTTCCCGATCAATCTTTCTAGATCGATCTGTATCTTCTCCACAAAAAAAAAAAAAAAAAAAAAAAAAAAAAAAAGAAGAATATATCAACATTTTTTTTTTATTACAAACCACTTTTCTTATTTAAATATCAGAAACCCAAAAAAAAAAAAAAAAACAAAACAAATTATCTATGTGACGTGTGGACGAATTCAAAGAACCAATATATGAAAACAGTTCCTGCATGCACACAACCAGATTATCTATGTGTATGAATAAATTTGAAATAAGAATTAAAAAAATACACCGGAGAGAATGTGCAAAAATATTGTTGTTCGAAACTTCATTCCCAAGTTGGATACATAAAGCTTTGTCCAACGTCATGAGAAAATTTCTATTTGCTTTTGAAATGTCTGCACATGAAAGACATGTTGATAAACATACACATACATGTAGAAAACTCAGAAATTGAAAAAAAAAAAATCGAGAGAGAATACATACGAAAGGAAATCCACCATTCTTGAAAAACCCTTAGAGAGAGAATCTGATTCTTGAATCTCTAATCCAGTAGTACAGGGAGAGGCAAATCCTATTATTTTATAGCCACAAAAAATTGACCATATATAAAATTAATACTCTGTAAATATTTTACAATTAAAATTAAAATTAAAAAATATAAACGGATACTGATTTTATATATATACACTGTCTTGATTATGGTATTGCATAGGATTCACATAGGGTGTTATTATATTTCCAACTTTTACACCAACTTCACACCACCACCAACATCATCAACACCATACCACCACCACCTCACTACCACCATCACCATCACTACTGCAACCGCCACCACTACTATACCACCGCAACTACCGCCACCACACCACCACAACTACCACCACCAACACCATACCACCGCAACCACCAACACCATACCACCGCCACCATCACTACCACCACCGTTGTCGCCACTACCACCACCTTACCACCGCAACCACCGCCGTCGCCACCACCACCATCACCGCCATATCACCGCCACCACTACCACCATCACACCACCATACCACTGCCACCACACCACCGCTACCACCACCACCCCCATACCACCGCCACTACCACCACCATACCACCCCAACCACCGCCACCACCACCATCTCACCGCCGCCGCCGCCACCACCACCATACCACCGCTACCACACCACCACCACTACCACCATCGCCGCCGCCATACCACCGCAACCACCGTCACCGCCACCACCACCATACCACCGCAACCACCGTCACCACCACCATACCACCGCAACCATCGCCGCCACCACCACCATCACACCACCGACGCTGCCACCACCACGACCATACCACCGCAACCACCGTCGCCACCACCACCACCATACCACCGCAACCACCGCCACCACACCATCACCACCACCACTACTACCACCGTCATACCACCACCAGTTATTATTATTATTATTATTATTATTATTATTATTATTATTATTATTATTATATAACAAATAACACCACCACCACCATAATATTTTTGATATATTATTAGTTATTTTTTTTAATATATTTAAAATTATTATTATTATCTAATCTAAAAACATAATAAGTGTGAATGAAAGTTATACCCCTGATTTATGTCCGTTTTTTCCGTTAAGTTTTTTTGTACATTATACTCTAAAGGTTGTACATTAAAATATTTTGGACAAACATACCCCGACCGTTATAACTTCCGTTATCTTTTCCACTGTTGTTACCATGCACATGCATCCACCATATATTTTCTTATCTTCTTCATTAATAATAATATATACACATTAAGTATTTGAGTTATATGTTAATTATTACATAAATATAAATATCAAATTTATAAAAATAATTTACATTATTATTATTATTTAGAATAATTTAAATATCTAAAATCTAAATAAATTTAAAATTTTAATATAATGTATTAATATTGGGCACCTATTTTTTGCGCATCGCACATAAAAAATATTAGTATTATTATACATGTTGTAATATTCTAAATAAAATAATAAAAATATTTAATTATACAATTCTACTCATTTTTAAGAAAATGAATTAAACACACAAAAACAGTTTTCAGAATACAACCAAACACGAAAAAGAAAAATATTTTCCAAAAAATAACTCATTTTTCAGAAGTCATTTTCCTGCTTTCCAAACGGACCATTAGTTTAGCGTTCATCTAATATTTGCTATTGGCTCAGTGTCAAGAACAAAAGTTTGATTTGTATTGAGGTGTCGGTGGAGTTAAATGTCGTTAGTCGAAGAAAATACCCGAACCCGTCGGGTGGGGAAAGTTAAGTGCGACATCTTACGCGCTGACCCGACTGCTAAAATGTCCCCCATACATTCTAACGATATTTTTAAAAAAATATTATATATTATATTATTTCTAATCAATCCCTGAGAAAAAGAAAAAAGAAAAAAGAAAAAAGAAAAAGAAGAGAAGCTGGCCAGAAGTCTCATCACTTTCGTTGGTGGATCGCATGCCATTGTTGACGCCGTCTGGGAGAGGAAATTATAATCGAATTATCGATAATTAGGCTTAGGAATAAGCACAATGACGGCAGGGGAGTCGATGAACGGCGGGATCGTCGCCGGAGGGGACGGAGACATCGAGGGCGGGCAGTTGGTGGAGCTGGTGGAGACGTCCATGTTGCCTACTGACGCAACATCTGATCCTCCTTCCGATGCCGAGGCTCCCGCAGATGATGCTCCGGTTGCCATTACCGATGACCAAATCACTCCATTATTGCCCAAAACGGAGAGGCCGAAGATCAACATCTTCACTATCTCGTATCCTAGGCGAAAGTCTAATAAGGTGATTTTTTATTTTATTTAATTTCAAACTGGAAATATCGTTTTGAAACAATTGTTATTGAAATAAGATATATACAATAATGTAATTTGAAGTCCAATGGTCATTTGATGCTGAAATTGTTGAAGACGTCATAATTGGAGAATATCACGCAGGATTTTTTTAATCATATACTGCTCTTATGTGGTGGGATCACTTTTAGTGCGACTAGTTTTGAATTGGATTTCTTTAAGCAGAGCCTTGCTATATTAATTCATAGTTTGTCTAACATATTAAGAGAAAAATGAGCAACATTGCTTTCTTGCCAAACTTTACTACTGATATATCTTCTATTAACCAGTTAAACAAAGTTTACTTCACCATGCTGTATCAGTAAGAAAACTTCTCTATATATCCTCTGCCTGTTACAATATATTTTACATTTCTTTTTGGAATATTCTTAAATGAATTAGTCATTCTATTAGATTTGGACCTCACAGGAGCAAGTAATAAGAACATCAGAATCCGATACATCACCATTTACGCAGTTTATAATATGGGCATGGAGTGGATCAAGGTACTCTGGTCTGGTATGCATGGCCATCTCATCTGTAATCTATTGTACTATGGATGTTGTTTCAGAATTTTTTACAGGTCAGTAATTCTCAATCCATATATGTATATACAAGTAATGTAAACTGTTGCTATATGTCCATGCCTCTTCAGTATTCCTCTCTTTTTGCTAGATAGCTGCTAAATAAATTTTAGCCTGCATCAATTCTTTATATTTCTTCTCATATTTCTTAACGTTATTTTATTTCTTTTGTTATTTATACTTGCAGGTCAATCAATTCCTCTTTTTGAGATGGTGTTTACAAGATGTACATTGCTCTTGATTCTGTCATTTGTGTGGTTGAAGAGAACTGGACAGCCAATTTTTGGCCCAAAGAATGTCAATACACTTATGGCTTTAAGAGCTGTGATTGGATATTTCTCATTATTAAGTTTCATTTACTGGTAAGAGGTGCTACCTTGGATAAACCCAACCCACACACGCACACACAAAACAATAAGAATAAGGAAAGATTTGTACATGCTACAAATTAAGTATTGGTTTTAAGGTTTACCATTCTGGAACATGATTTACTAGTGACAATGAGACAGTTGATTCTTTCAGCATTCAAAGATTGCCATTGTCCCAGGCTATTGTATTGAGTTTTACCACTCCAATCATGGCTTCAATTGTTGCTCGATTTATATTGCATGAAAAGTTGAAAATCACAGAAATTGGAGGTATATTCCTTTGTGTCATTACAATCTGTAGTATACTTCCATGAAAAAATTATGGTCAAGATGTACTGTGTGCATGTAGGAACTAACATTATATGGCAAGCATAACTAGAAATGAGGCATTCCAAGCATATACTAGTGGCCAAATTTGTGTGTCTTTAAATTTTGAACCTTAGATCAATGCTAGAAAAACACATGTTTCTTTTTCTCATTGAGAATGTAAGTGTACTTAGTGCTTGTTTGGCTTGGTTTTAGTTTATTGAAAATCAGGCTTTTTTGAAAAGTCTCAAACTCTAGCTTCTTGAAAAAGTGACTTTTACCTATTTAGCTGCAAAAGGCTTTCTCCTCTCAGTGTTTTTGCTTTTTAGAGTAGATAGGCTCTGAAATAACTTGGGTCAAACAAACACATAATGTTTACCTATAAAGAGAAGCCATGAAGTTATTGGCTTGAAAATATTTAGATTTTCTTTGTGACTTTGTTACATATGTTGCTTGACCTTGGAGTAATGTTGTGAATTCATATCAATAAAGATCTTTCTTCCCATCTTCTTTTTTTTTTTTTTTTTTTTTTTCAATATTAGCATTATATATTTGTGATACCGGAGGTGCACTTTACCTTCTCTGTTTGTCATCATTGTTTTGTCACCTATGCAGGTCTAGCCACCAGTTTCTTTGGTGTGCTCTTTCTTTTTCAACCAATGGTCATCACAAAAGGTACATAAATTTGTTAAAGAATTACACATAATGCTATATGGGCCTGACACCTTCAACTTTTGGGGCCCATTATTCCCATAAAAGTTGGAAATATATCGAGCAAAAATACTGAAATTCACAATCAGTGTTTAAAGACTCATAAATTTCATAGAGTTGTAGGTTCAAATTTAATTATGCTGAGAAAATCATGTATGCTTCTGGGATCATAACTAATTTTCCTAACCAATCTTCCACATTCCTGATTTATCTTTTTTATTTTTATTTTTTAAATATGACTTTGCTATGTAATCATACTGGAATATGGAATGATTATGTTAACACTCTGCTTCTAATACAGGCAGTCACCCTTCTGTTGAGGGGAATGAAAGGAAATGGTTAGATTAGAAGTAGAAGACAAAAAAGGATTGTAAAAACATGAAACGTTGGCATTTATGGTCTGTTAAAGTAAAACACTGAAATAAAATTGTCTTTGGTTTGTAGAATGTAGCCATGTAGGTCTGTTAAAGACTTTCATGTCTTTTTTGCCAAGGGAAATATGGTTCATCACTTCATCCGCATTCCAATCACACAGTTATTTTATGTGAATTCTTGTGCATATTACATACTTAATTATGTACTTCCAGGAGCTGTGCCAAATGCTGTAGGCAATAATGAATATCTCCGTGGAAGCCATCATATTTATGCAGTTTTGGTTGGTCTATGTTCATCTATTTTTGGTGGAGTTAGCTACTGTCTTACAAAGGCAGGAGCCAAGACAACTGATCAACCAGTGTAAGATAACTGGCTATCTTCTCTGATACTATACACTGCTTGGTCATGTGTTTTGATTCTTTGATCTGGAGTTTTCCATATATTAAGACTAGCACCATCAGCTTGCTTCCTGCATAGTTAAAACATGTTTCTTTTTAGCTTTTAATGTGCTTTACATTTCCTAAAACATTCATGTTTATAGAAATATTTGTTACCTAGTAATCAGGTTTTTCTTCAATATATTCGACTCAATAGCCTGAGAGCTCCTTTACGGCTGTTTCCTCAATAGTCAATATACATCAATCATCACACATTGAAAGAGAGTGAAAATCTTATGTCTGAGTCTCTGTTTAACTGTTTGTAGTTTAACACGCTTGGTTAACAGTGGTGTTTTTTTAAAACAACTGCTTGTTTCTGTTTCTGGATATTAAATTTCAGGCTCACAGTTTTTGCATTTGGTCTATTTGCAAGTCCTGCTGCTGGAATATGTACCTTTGCTTTCCAGGTAAGATCTTTGTTTTACCCTGTGCTACCATGTAATATGCTGACTGTAAAACAAAATTAACAATTTTTAGTTAACTGCTTTGAAGAAAAGGTGAAAAAGGTGCATTTGCATGCATATGAATCTTGTAGTGAACATGTCATTAATTTCGTTATATGATCTCGGTTTTGACTAAAGCCTTCCACTGTTATGAATATATTTAAGAAACTTTAGTTTATCTGATGTTATTTTGTACACTGAAGCTCAATGAAGTATACTGCGTCATGTATCTTTACTACTTAATCTGATTTAGGAAAAAGATTGTCACGTTATCTTAATACGGAGTATTAGTTTGAGTTCCTAGATTTCCATGAATGACAACTAGGCCATCTATGCTTAGAGTGTACAAGATACTGTGTTAGTTTGTACTTGGGAATTTATCTTCTTCTCCCTAAATTGGCTCTCATTTAGCATATTCAATAGCTTACAATGGAAAGCCATAATTTATTACATTTGCGAAAAACAAGGTGGTTGTAACTATGGGCTGCTTGCTGTTAGAACTTTTTGCCCCTTTTCACCCGGCCTTTTGTATTAGCATGTTGATGCCGCTGCTTCTTTCTTAATTCCTTTAATTATTCCATGCAGAACTTTGTACTTCCCAGTTTCTATTCTCTGCTTCTTATGATTGTCCTTGGGGTACTGGCTTTCTTCGCAGAGGTTCTAACCTGACCTTGTCCTCTGATCTACGCATTTATGTAACCCAACAATTTCTATCCGAATATGGACTTACAACTCTTTGTGTTCACAGATAACTCTAGCAAGAGGGCTTCAGCTTGAGAAAACAAGCAGAGTTGCCAATGTCCTGTATCTTGAGGTACGGAGCTCATGTAATTTATTGCATCAAGTATACAAATTTCAATAACTTGCAAATAAATAGAGAATTATCATTGGCATGACCATGAAACTAAAATGTATGTATAAAACTAAAAAGCTTCCATAAAATATGCATGGCATGAAATGGTCTTTTCTGCGTGTGAAAGCTAAAGGAGATCCACAGGATATTCTGAGAACACAAATGTTGATTGTACCATACAATTAAAATCGCCCAAAATGCCCCTATCATTGATATTAGGGAAAATTGCACTCGGGTAATTGTAAGATGTGTTCTTGTTGGTTTTGCTCACTTCTCATCCATAAAATATAATTGACGTTGCAAATTTCATCATTTTTCTAACAAAACATTAGTGACAAAATTTGTAACTTCAATTATAGCTTAGAGACGAAAAGTAAGCACGACCTGGTAGAATGTTACAACGTTAGGGAAGATGAGAAGTGAGCATGACCAACGTTGTGACAGTATTATAGAAGAGAGTGGTGATATGTTTGCCTTCCCATTTCAGGCAGCCCTATCTCAGTTGTTGAGAATGGGTACTTCAAGAATCGCATCCTTTAGTAGGTTAGTGGGATGTTCACTAATTTTAATTTCAGCAAGTTGCACAATGTATTTTGGACATGAAAGAGATTGAAGGACAGCAGGCAAGTTCACCTTTGGTGCTACTAATCATTGGGTTGATTCCTGAAGTGAGATACAGAACTTACGCGATGCTTGTTTTGGTAGCATTAATTTGATGAATCTGCTTCTGTACTGTACATTCTGTCCAATTTTTGAGTTGTGAAGTGTGTAAATATTGAGGCCAAAGTTTATTTTGTTCAAAACAGCATCCATCCAAAGGGAAAATAAATTAAATCAGCAAATGGCAAACCTACACTGCCGCGTTTTCAGATCCTAGAAAAAAAAAAAAAACAAAACCCTACTGGCTACTATGTGTTCACAGATAACTCTGTTTCTTCGGAAAAAAAAATGAATTTTCACTTTAGTTCCGATTCTTTGTTCAAATTAATCTGTGCAGATTTTGTTCAGTACATCAGATATGCATTTAGGCCATCGCCACTGCCAAATTTCTCTACCATAATTAAAATAGACTCACGCCAATTACACCAAACATTCTACACTAAAATAATTTGAGTCCGTATAAAATTAGTTTAAAATTAATTAGTTGAATACTCCGTATAAAGCATAATTTGTGACAAAAATAAATTCAGTTAGTAACATTATTATAAAACGAATTTAAGTAAAATATATATATATATATATATTCAATATTAGTCTATAATAGAAAAAAAACTTAAGAATACAAATTCAGTATTTTATTTAAGTAAATAAAATAATACAAATATAAAACAAATAAATGATACATTTGACATTATATACAAATATAGACAAGGGCAAAAAGGGAAAAAAAACCCCCACTGGCGCCACATTATTCATTTCCGCTATTTCTTTTCGCATTCGATGCTCCATTTACCGCAGGAAAACATGAAGGAATGGTGATTTGATGATGCCATTTGCCTTTATCCCTTGGAGACGCTTTTATAACATTCAAAGTCTACTCTGCTGAAAATGTATCTTCAACCCATAAGGATACAAGAGAAAAAAGAATATAATTTGACCCCCATCTATCAGAACAAATAGCCTCTGTTGAACCACTTTTATATAAAAACATTCTCAACAAGAATATTTTAGACAAGTTTATCAGCAAAAGATTAAACACGCTTTTTCAGAAGGATTGGGGGGTGGGGGGCGGAGATTTTAGTTGGTATTTATTCTAGCAAATTCAGAACTGTTATGTCATTAATGCAAATTAAACGACTAGCAAATGATGTGTTATTGGGTAATTAGAGTGAAGCCTCAGATAGTCGATCTGACATCAGGGTGAATTCAGACGGTAATTCCAAATATGTTAATTACAATCCTCATCGGCAAATCTTAATTAAAAGTCTACTCCGCTCAAACCTTCAACCCATTATAAGATACATGATAAATAAGAAAATTATAAAACAGTAATGGGGTCATTAATGCAAATTAAAGGACTAGCAATTGATGTGTTATTGGGTAAAATTAGAGAGAAGCCTCAGATAGTCGATTTGACATCAGGGTGAATTCAGACGGTAATTCCAAATATGTTAATTACAATCCTCATCGGCATTCTCAAAATAAATAAAAAATCAAAAAAAAAAAACTTTTTTTAAAAATGTAATCGCACAAAACGGCTCTATGAAGGAATGGAGAATCCATACATAGGTTCCTATATAATGCGAAATTGAATCGATTTCGGTTCAATCATAGCATCGCCGGTCACTGCTACAATATGCTATCGGCGACGTGGCATCGAACCTTTCCCCTACAATCTTAAAAGATATAAAATCATCAAAATTCAAAAAATCAAATTGAAGAAAGACCTCAGAGACCCGTTCCAAATCACACACACAGCCGTGGTGACAAAGCCAACGAGCCGCCCAAACTTTCCCGACCAGATGAACCAATTCTCGCCGTGAAACGGCGAAAACATGGGCAAAAGGTGGATGGGAAAAGATGGACGGAGCGGAGCCACACCACCACCGCTGCTGTTTAGAGCGTCATACGGCACTTCCTATTCTTTGGGAATTCTTCCTCATCGGCAACAATCAAACAACTACGATAGAAATAATCAATCAAAACCATAAAACCTTAAAAACAGAGAATGTTAGCCACAGCGCGGATAGCCTCCCCTGAGATAATTACAGGAGACTCGAAAGACGAGGTGGCTAATCAATATAGCTTATGAATTAATGTTAAGTGCTGCTGTATGTTAAGCTGAGCGGCACTTGACCGTCCATAAGCACAACCTAATTAGCTCAAAATCTGCAACACGAAATAAAGAACATTAAAAATTCAAATCACAGCAAAATCGAACCACGAATTCAGATATATTTTGCTCTTAAACTAGAAAAACAAAGATAAAATAAGGCCTCAGAATTGCAGAATGACAGCAAGGCCTTTCGGCCATTCAGTCCCGAAAGATGGTGTATTTTAATGAATATTTCCTCACAGGCCAAATCAGAAATGAATTTCAAATTTCTAGGGACAAAATGCACATATATAGATGTTTTGAAGAACGTATGTATTTCTCATGGCCAAGCCCAAGAGGTCACCGCAGAGACTCCGCTCTCCAAGACGATAGGATATGAGATCGCTCCCTTCGGACTGTAGAAGAGGATGAAACGGTACGAACCGCCTCATCCACTCCCCCTCAAAGAGGCATCAACAAAGGAAGCTCGATCTGTGACAATTTTTACACACACGGGTTATACAAGCACTCCGATTGCTCGCCCCAATAACAGTGAATCGTCACTTCTATGCAGAGAAAAAACAATTGCAATACATCATGATTACACAAAACTAAAAAGAGAGAATCCTCAGATAGTCGATCTAACATCAATGGTAAATTCAGACGGTAATTCCAGATATTTTAATTACAATCCTCATTGGCATTCTCAAAATAAATAAATAAAAAGTTCAAAATGTAATCACACAAAACGGCTCTATGAAGGAATGGAGAATCCATCCATAGGTTCCTATATAATGCGAAATTGAATCGATATCGGTTCAATCATAGCATCGCCGGTCACTGCTACGATATGCTATCGGCGACGTGGCATCGAACCTTTACCCTACATTCCCTAATGATACAATGAATCATCGAAATTGAAAAGCGTAATTGAAGAAATACCTCAGAGTCCCGTTCCAAATCACACACACAGCAGTGGTGCGAAAGCTGAGCAGCCCAAACTTTCCCGACCAGTTGAACCAAGGCTCGCCGTGAAACGGCGAAAACATGGGCAAAAGGTGGATGGGAAAAGATGGACGGAGCGGAGCAGCACAACCACCGCTGCTGTTTAGAGTGTCATACGGCACTTCCTATTCTTTGGGAATTCTTCCTCATCGGCATCAATCAAACAACTAACCAATTAAACCCATAAACCCATAAACCCATAAACCCATAAACCCATAAACCCAGAGCCGTTCTCCATATTGTATTGATATTGTATTGATATAAGAAAAGATGCCTATAGGAGTTTATATAGATATGAGGATAATGTGAAACCCTAATTTTGCGCCCACAGAGTTGTTGTTGGGCTTTTTCTTGGGCCCTTCTTCAAGAATGGGTCAGCTATAAAATTGGTCGCGGCAAGCAACCTCGCATTTCTAGGATTCTACACTATTAAATTATAATTAATTTTAACCAGCTTAGTTGGCCTTAAAGACCGTTCACTCTCGTTCCTTGAGATATCGAGAGTTTAATCTGATTAACATATTGTTCCTTAATGGGTCGGGCAAGTGCTAACGGGGATTAATATGAGAATTTAATATGATTAACATATTGTTCTTTAATGGGCCGGGTAGGTGCTAACGAGGATTAATCTGAGTATGAGAGTATGGTACAAGCTTAAATGTGTCTCCTACAATTAGGGTCATGCTCAGGACACATTTAAATGTGTCTTCTATAGTTAGGGTCCTACTCAGGACACATCGTGGTTTGACTCCAAAAAATTAGAATTAATTTGACAAAATATATTGAAAACAGGGATTCACATGGGGCCAAAGACTTTATGGTCAAGCTGGCGTAGGTTGAGAAAGTAAATATTAACAAAAACTACATGTAAACAGGGTGAATAATACTACAAAAAAAAAAAAAAAAAAAAAAAAAACTCAACATGATAATTTAGATGTAGGTCTCGATATATATATATATATATATATATATATATATATATATATATATATATATATATAATTATAATAAGAGCCAATAATGTTAGGCCCTTAACTGGAATAAAAAAAAAATGTCGGTACTACTTGTTTCTTAAAGTGAATGGTTCATAGTATTTTGATTTTAGTATTTTTAATGATTTTCCTTATTTACCCTTTATTATATTATTTTCTTTCCTTAAATTCCGTTAGTATAAACTTTATTAACGGAATATTCCGTTAACTATTTATTATTCTTAACTTACTCATTATAATTTCTATAAGAAAGGTCTTAGGTTCGAACCTCATTCCAATTAGAGTTAGCATAATTGTTAAACATATACTACGAATATGTTAAAATGTATTAAAAAAATAAAATATAAAATTTAACATAAACTTTGGTCAAATAATTAGCCCGACTAAATACATAGCATTCAATGATTATAAATCAGAAACTTTGATAATCATTTGATTTTATTTCATTAAAAAATAATAAATTTAAGTTCAATTTCTTTTTTGGTTTAATTAATCTTCTTTTGATTATTGAGAACAAAACTTAATATTTCAATTATGCTTTTATCAATGCATGAAAACTTCTAAAGAAATTTGTAAGTTAATTTTTACTATATTATTATAACAATATCTATTGTAACCTTATATTTTGAATTATTTATTATCATCATCTATTGACAGCAATTGTCATTGACAAACTCTCAAAACAATTTGTGTCACAAACAAATGAAAATTTAAAAAAAAAATCAATAATTTCATTATTGTGAATGAAAAGTATGTACGCCACTTTATTCAATCGTTATGCCGTGGAACTGTGTCCACCTTGCAATGTGGACACAGTTCTATGTTCATAATTACTGAACTATATGTTCATAATTATAAAGCTATATATTCATAATTTTTTAACTTCATATTCATAATTATTGAACTCTATATTCACAATTACAGAACTCTATGTTCATAATTATTGAACTATATGTTCATAATTATAAAGCTATATATTCATAATTTTTTAACTTCATATTCACAATTATTGAATCTTTATATTCATAATTACAGAACTATATGTTCATAATTATGTTCACAACTTTATGTTCATAATTTTTGAACGATATATTCATAATTATGAACAATTTTGGAACCGTGTCCACCTTTATCCACCTTGCAAGGTGGACACGGTTCCACATCATAATTTTCCCACTTTATTGCTCTTATTACTTAAATTAAAAAATAAATTGGTAGCTACAACAAAAAATAATATATATATATATATATATATATATATATATATGTGTGTGTGTGTGTGTGTGTGTGTGTGTGTGTGTGTGTGTGTGCATTTAATTAATTTAGAATTAGATGTCTCACAACACATGAAACATGTAGGGAAAACTACCACTACCAAATATCAACATGTGCTTGTAAGATAAAGAGTTCATAGCACAACTAAGATCTCAATCATATACACGACAAGACAAATCTAAAACTTCATACACCATAATCTCATTGCATGATGAATCCCTCTATGATACTACCAATAAACCAATTGCACATGACACACTCCTAATAACACACAAAAAAAAAAAAAAAAAAGACATGTACTAAAAATGAAAACAATAACATGCTACCTAAAAGAGAATTAGAAACATTTAAACCAAAAATAGTATTTATTTAGACTATCGCTTTTAGACTTAGTACTTAGATTAACGTTATTACAAAGTTGTAAACATTTATTTTTGTGACAGTTATATATAATCAATCCCTCATATATTATCTTGCATTTATATACTTTAAATTACTGATTTAAGTAAACAAATTCAACATTTATTTACATATGCATGAACATCTTCTATACAATATTACATTGATATACTTTGAAATATTTATTTAAAAGTAAGTATTGGGCATTATCCTATTCGCGCAAAGCGCGCAGAGAAACTAGTATATATATATATATATATATATATATATATATATATATATATATATATATATATATATATATACTAATAAGAGCTCAAGAGAGTTAGGCCTATAATGGGTAGAAAAAATGGCGGTCATTTTTTTTAATCAAATGAATGGCTCAGATTGATCAGATTTAAATTTTTCCTTAAGATTTCCTAATTTATCATTAATGAATATGATTTTCTGTTAACTTTTCCGTTAAATATTATGTTTTCCGTTAATTTCTGTTAGTTCACCGTTAACTTACTCATTGATTTCAGTAAGAAAGGTCTTAGGTTCGAACCTCATGCCAATTAAAGTTGACATAATTAGTACTCTATTTTACTCTTATTAAATTTAAATAATAATTTATTAGTTACAACAAAAATTAATACATATGCATTTGTTTAATTTAGAATTATGTGTCTACAATGTCTTTATTCAAAAATTTTTATTCATGATCAATAAATTAAATAAGAGAAATAATTTCATTAGTTATATTGTCTTTGTTTTTCTCCAATATAAAAATTCTTTACATTCAATTTCATCAATTGATTATATTCGCTACATTATCCCTACAATGTATTTATTAAAAAAAAAATCATTATCAATAAATTAATTAAGTGAAATAATTTTATTAGTTATATTGTCTTTATATTTCTCCAATGTAAAAATTCTTTACATTCAAATTCATCAATTGATTATATTGACAAATGACAACATTGTCTATTATATTTTTGTGCACTATTTTTTAATTAAATATCAAAGTTATAATACAAAATAATGCTATATATTTATTTACCAAGTATTTTATTAATACCATGAAAAAATTAAAAAAAAATTAATTAATAAAGTCAATCATATTAACTACTTGAGAGATTTGTTGACAAAGAGGGTATTCAAATCACACAACAAAAAGTGAGAACTACCTCGCAATGTCTTTGTTTGACAATCAGCAGATAGCGGTTAGCGTTAGCGGATTATATTAGCGGATTTGACCAGCGAATTATATCAACGATTGGTAAAAAGATATTTGAAAAAATTAGCTGTTTAGATTAACATGTAAAATGACCTAATGGTATACATATATTTAATAATAATAATAATAATAATAATAATAATAATAATAGTTTTAAAAAATAAACAAATTTAAAAAATATAATTAAGCCAATCATATTAACTACTTTTGAGATTTATTGACAAAAAAAAAAAAAAGTATTCAAATCACACACCAAATTAAAGTGGGAAATTATCTCGCAATGTCCTTGTTTGGCAATCAGCAGTTAGCTCTTCAATATTAGTATATATTTAATATTTTATGCCTTAATTTTTATTTCCTCTCCCTTATGTCCCGTATTTAGTTCCAATCATACCTATACAATTATTTTATTGACAATTATAATCAATCTTGACTATATTTTGTTGCATTTGTAAACTTTGAATTACCTATTTAAATATGCAAATTCAACATTCAATTATCTATGCATGAACAATCCAATATAATCTTGCATTTATATACTTTAAAGTACTCATTTAAAAAAATATTGGGCATTATCCCAATCGCGCAATGCGCGTCAAAAACTAGTATATATATATATACACACACAAATAAAACATACCAGCTTATATATATATTAATAAGAATCAAATGACGAATATAAATTTGTACGAGAGAAAACCAAATACAATAAAAACCAGTATGAGAAAACATGCCTAATTAGGGCTTGACAGTGAGATATGATGCATCCTACATATGAGATATTATAAGATGATTTGTTGAGAAGATTGCAAACTTTGAGACAATTCATCTCAATCTTGAAATGTTTCGTCTTAACTAAAAGTCTAAGTCAATAGTTAGACTACAAATATATATTAGATGCTCAACACATTTTATTACGTGCACATGTTGGTCACTTCGTAAACATGGCATTTTGAATAAGTTAATACCAAATCAAAATATGTGTTACATTTAATTACAACTTTGATTACATAATTATGTTTATATTAGAGTAAATACCCAAAATGGTCCCTCGACTATACTTAAATTCACAAATTGGTCCTCAACTTTTAATTTCAACCAATTAAGTCTTTAACTTTGTCATTTTAACACAATTTGGTCCTCTGTATATTTGACCGTTTGTTGACTGTGATTTTTTAGGATATATATATGTAATTTCATGGTCCATCGTCGGTTTTTTAAGGTTCCGACTGCATTTCCAGACCGCACTGTTACATTTGAATCCACTGCTGAAAGCAATCTACCAACTCCGGTTGCCTTTCTTCATCCTCCATTTGGATTCAATGTAGTTGAATTCGTACCAGAGTGAAGAAGACGACGTGTTTCCGAACCGGTGCAACGTCATCCTGGAGGCCTCCACGTGAGCTTGAGCTTTGCACGTAAAATTACATATATATCCTCAAAGATCACGATCAACAAACGGTCAAATAGATGGGGGACCAAATCGTGTCAAAATTACAAAGTTAAGGACTTAATTAGTTGAAATTGAAAGTCGAAGACCAATTTGTGAATTTAGCTATAGTCGATGGACCATTTTGAGTATTTACTCTTTATATTATATAACATATATAATATGATATATAATATTGTCCAAAAAGATATTGAAAAAATCAAATTAAAAACCTTTATGTACATAAATTATGTTCCACCCCTTTCAAGGCGTCTCAAAATTTATTTGAATATCTATATGCCCTTGTTACAATAATAAGTATTTTACGCCAAAGTCGCACACAAGACTTGTTTATCCATGAATGCATAACATAGACATATACTCTATTTAATATGATTTATTTTAAGATGTGTAATTTTACACACATTCTCATTTTATACTCTATATATATGATGTGTCATGCTTTGATTGTTTAATAAAAATAAGATGAATCATGATTTATATTATTTTTTTTCATCATTCAATAAAACTGGAACATTTGGTTAGAGATAGAGTATATTTATCATTTTCGTTTTAAGACATTATTAAGATATAAGTTTTGCATGATTAAATATGAAAAAGCCTTCCTTCCAATAATAATAAAAAAATATGAAAAAGTTTTTAAACTAGCTTAATTGGTATAAGTGATCACACATTATGGTCCAACAAAAAAAAAGAAAAATTTTAAATAATATTTGATTGAATCAGTAGCATTTTGTGGCAGTAACCATAAGGATAACCTCCATGCAAAATTGAGTGACGCACGCTTCTTTTCTCTTCTCCTCCATTCCCACCTTGCATCAACTTCAATTACCAATTTATTGACCTCGTAAATCTCTGCAACCAAAAACAACAAATCTTCTTACGACCTCACTCACATACATGCCGTAGTTGCTTCATTCTCCGATGCAATCGCCGCCCGATAACGACATATGATCACCGTCGGTTACTCTCCGATCCCTCTCTTCTCCTTCTTCTTCTCGCGGTATTGAATGCAGGAGTTTCGCGCCGTATCAATCGTCTCATCTCCTCTTCTTCTCAAGTCTTATGGAATTCCCTTGATCGCGAATTTTCGGTTTCAGGTAATGCTAATAATAATAATAATAATAATAATAATAATAAGAAATATTAGTGCACGTTCCGTGTTCGTTTAATTGTGCCGGATAAATATTCATAATATGTTTGTTTGGATTTTGATGGAGCAGTGGTCGGTGGCGAGAATTTGAGAGTCCATCAAGGATTAGTGTCATTTTGACGTTGATGGAGAACTGCGACAATGGCCGCTGCGTCTTCCCCTTGACAAGTTTGCAAATTGGGTAAGATATTTATTGTACGTGTCTGCAGTTATGCTTTGAATGTGAATAAAATTTGCAAGATTTTTTTAGCCTAGAAAATGTTCTTTTATTTGTTACCGAGTAAAGCTCATATTTTCCTTCCTTTTCATAGAAAAGGAAAATTGAACCATTGCCCTGCAAAAAGGGATTCATTGTTAATTTGCAATTTTTGATTCTTTATAATTCGTAGTAGTTGAATGCATGCAGCTTAAAGGGAATAGTACGTGAATGGAGATCACTAAATACTGGGATCATCATGCAACATTATCAGTAGCTTTAATTTGATATATATAGAGCCCCTTGACTGATGAGATAGTATTTAGCCTAGCATGAAATAAATCCACATAAAGATTTTGCCTGTTTTAGGCAACAGGATGAAGGGCTGGCTTTAATCACATATGCTCTGTGTCTTATCTTAGATTATGCTTTCATCCTTTACAGGGATTTGCAGTCCTATCTATCACACTGGTCCATTTACCTAGCCCCTGAGAGTAAGAAATTCTATATCTTAGTGGACAACCGGCCATGGTTGCAAGATCTCATCTCCCACCCGGCACACTTATGGCAATTGATGGTCACTAAGGTAGCTAAACATATATTCTGTGTTTCATTTAAGTGTTGCAACTGATTTAGTGAGTCCAAGAAAGCAGTCATGTGTTTGATTGGTACTATCTTTAAACATAATAGTCCAGAATGTCCCCCTTTGCAAATACCAGAGGGCAGAAGGATAAAAGAGAGGCTGAAGATATCCAAACTAAAGCAGAACCAAATTCAAGTAATTCAGAAGCAGTCAAAAAATGGTTTTCTCTGGTTGATGCTGCAACCTCATCTAGTACAAGCGCCTTATCACCTGTGAAGAAATTTAGGATTTCTTTTTTAAATAGCAACCTGAATAGGACGTTATATGGCTTCATTGTATTTGAAGTTGCATGGAGTGATGTTCGTGGTATAAACTATTTTAATGAACTTCAGGTACCTTTTTTTACCATACCCTTCCTCTGTTAATTTTTAATGAATTTGCATGGAGTGATGTTCATGGTATAAACTATTTTAATGGACAGACAGATACCACATTTGCTTTAGAGGCTAAATTCATGAGAAGATGGGAATTTGATAGTATGGCACAAGCAGCTAGATGTATAAGTTCATGGTTCTCTGGAACAGATGATGAGAGGAGTACTTTGCTAGAATATTTGGACCCTACAATTGGTAAGCCTTTGTTCAAATGGTCTGTCTTTGTGAAAGAAAGTAATCTGTATTTATATACTATTTATTTTCTTGAGCCCAAGCATTGTTCAGCTCTTCTAGTGATTGAAAAGTTATTACACATAAAGACTCAGAAATTACATTGAGCAAAAGCAAAACTATATTCCTCTGTGTTTCGTATGTCCTAAACTCCATAAGTGTATGGGATTTCTTTCCTGTGTGTCTATAGCAGAGGCAAACTAATAAGAAGAAACAAGAAAAGAAAAATCCTACTTCCATCTTTAGCTTTATGCCATATGCAGATACACAAAAATAAGCATGTGTGGATATTTGCTAGATTCTTTATTTTCATGCAGGAAGCTTGCTGTTTAATTTATTCTAGTTTCATTTACTTATTCAGTGAATTGTTTTTCAAGATGTCAGCATACTTAGAAACACTTTCAATTTCTGAATTCTGGGCAAATAAAGGTTATCAAGGATGTCAGTCTCCTAATACCCTAATTTGCTGTAGTGATTGAATTGAGTTTCTATACTACCTATGCAAAGCCTTATTCCTTGTGTTTGTTATTGAGATTTCTGCAGGAGAGGCATTTTTTGATGCTGAAGTAAAATTTTCAAGTACTAGTGTTGCAGATGGCAATGATCCTACTATTGATGATTTATTATATAATGATAATAAATATGCTGCTCTCACTCCAAGTAAAAGTTTCCGCAGTATGCACCCAGAAACCATAACAACCAGCAAAACTTCAAGTTGTAGACCATATATAGGTAGTGGACTTTATAAGAGAAGAAAGTCTATTAGCAACGGGGACATGTTTTCTGAAGATTCTTGCAGTAGTACAACTGGAGAACCACAACATTCTCCGAAGTCCTGCTCATCTGAGTGTGAGAATGATGTAGTTGAAGCTACCAAGCTCAAGGATATTTTGATTTTGTTTCGGTTTAATGATCGTGATCTCCCCTTTAAATTAAGGGACACTATTATGTCTGATCTGCGGTTGCTTACACTGTTGGAATGTGGGCTGCCAGCATGGGTGATCTTCCTTCAGTCCTACCCAGGACTTTGCCATATTTATCGCCCATGGATGTGCCCCCTAGCCAGATTTTTATATGTACTTATCTCAATCGTTACTGTCCTTATAGGATTTTACGATCTGTACAAAAATGTACCACTCGTCAAAGCAACTGCATCTCATTTGTTTGGACCCTTCTTTGATTGGATAGAAACATGGGAAATGATATCAAGAATTAGGTACCTGGGGACAATGTTATTTCTTCACAATTTTCAGAAGGCACTTAAGTGTTTCCTATCAGCAACACGTGCTATTCGGTCATGTTTGTCATTTGTCACACAGCCATTTGCAGGACCATTTTTTGAGTTAATGGAATTATTCCTTCCTCTCTGGAGCTTGTGTGCACAGTTAGCAGAGAGTTTATTTTCAATAATATGGTTAATTTTGGAGACTTCTTGGAATCTGGCAGGAGACTTTATTGAGATTCTGCTATTGCCATTGTGGTGTCTCCTTTCAGTTTTCATGAGAATTGGTAAGTATAGTTGATACAGCATTTAAATATATTGATTTCTATTTGATTACACTGCATAAAATCTGTACTGTGGTTCACATTGGTAATGGCTTTTCCTTCCACCAAATCCTTGATTGCAGTGACATCTGTATTATACCCTATATTTTGGATATTCTGGGGAACACTCTATACTCCCATTCGCTTGGTCATGGGTTGCTCTGGTGTTATTGCCCGTGTATTCAGCGCTATATCTGAAGTGATTCATGACACGTGGGAATTTTCAAGTGGCATTCTCCGACTCACTTCAGAGGTGGAGTCAACAGTAACTGCAGCTGAGGTTTCCATGTGGCGTGCTCTTTGGAATGACCTTTTCTCCCAGGTTGATTAGCTCCTTTCCATTTACTTCTCTTACTAGGTTTCCAATTAGACTTCTTTCTCATCTTGTTTCCCTTGCCTCTTTCCCAACCCCTATTTGGTTAACAGGTTTTTCGTGCTCTTCGAAGCATACTTAATGGTTTAGTTGCCTTCTTCATGGCCTGCAACAGGCATCGCCTAAGGTATGGTTGTCGACTTGTTATTTTGCCAAATTATTTGTCATATATACCTTGCAATTCTGCTCTGTCTGCTCACACTTTGCATTTGCAGTATATATAATCATACAAAAGAGTTCATTCAAAAGCTATTTCAACCCGCTGAGAGGGGCCAGCTTACAGTCTACACTGGCAGTGAACAACTATCAGTAATACAGAAGAAGGTGAGTCTCATTTGATTGTAGTACAGTGTTAATTACTTCAAGTTTCTACTGCTACTAAATGCACTTTTTGTCAGTGGGATTTAATGTTTGATAGTCATCTCTTTAAGTGTTTAGCAGAGAAAGCAAGCAATTGTTTAGTTAATGACATATTTTGGATGTTCTTTTAATGGGGGAATGTTTGCTGGACTGCAGTTGGAAGACGAGTATGAATATCACCGCCAAAGAAAGCTCAAAAAAGTCACCCCATTGATGTGAAAACGTGCAATGGATCTTCAAAGTAGTAAGCAGGGAGTTTTGATCACATTGTCTGACTTGTAGGAGACACGGTTGAAGTCCATAATGAAGAAATTGTACACCAAATTTCTTCACTGTCTACCCTAGAACCCAGGGTTTTAGACTGCTCTCTTGTAACATATGTAAATGATGTAAATAGTCATCTTCTAAGTGGATAAATGCATATATTTCTTTCCATTCCTTTTGTCATCAGTTATAGTTTCTTCAACTCTCTTTGGAATGGTTGGATGTTTTTTCTTTAGTGACGAAAGAAACTTGTAGTCACTGCTCGAGGGTCTGCAATAAATAAACATCACCTTGTAATCAACTCAAACCAAGAAAACCAATTAGGAGCTGGGAGTCAAACTTGTAACTTAGGAGTGGTTTGATTTACGGAATGTTAGATTACCATAGGAAATGTCATATTGTTAAAAATGTTATATTTCTATGTTTGATTAAAATTGAGGTATTGTAATATAAACCTGTTTGGTTGAAGAGTTGTTTATGTTATACGGGGTAATGATTATTTTACTTTAATACCTTTAACATATATCATGTATATGAAGTTCAAAAGGCGTTATTTTAATTCCTTTGTCCACTGATTTAAGATGACAAAGTAAAAACGTCAAGGAAATCTCACATTGCGAAGGAAGATGAGGAAAAATCTAACGTGGAAGCTATCTTTGATTTGGTTTATTTGCGTGGCCCCCGATGGATGCTATTTTCACTGACACAGTTGAATTTGAATATGCAAAAAGAAGTGCAACATAGGATACCTTTGAGGATATCTTATATCTAAAAGTTTTATCCATAGAAGAAGCTTATGATGCATCCACATAATGGATTATAAATTGGGATAATCGCATTAAAAGTGCTGTTTAAGTTTAATTGAGCAGAAGCAAGTTGAGCATACAGTATCTATCATATGTTCAAAAAAAAAACTCTATGATCACAACTTAATAGTTCATTGATGTCCACCGAACTTGGAAGGTTAAAACCGTGGTATCTTTCCATGGAATAGAAAGAGCTTAAATACTTGCTCCTCCAGTTTGGTGTAGCATTGCATCAATCTCATCACCATCTTCCATCTCTAGCTGAAAATCGCCAAAAAGGGGAGCGGGGAATGGGAAGGTGGTAAGATGTCAATAAGTAGACAAGGCAAGTAAGCGTAGATATTTTTCTCGTATGTCTTTGTGTGTGCGAGGGTGTTTAGCAGAGAGAGAGAAAGAGAGAGACCTCATCTGGAGTCTGCTCCCCTCGAAGACGGCGACCATCAAACAGGAAAGCTATTGAATTAAGATCCACTGATTGGCGATCACAGTATGCATTCATGAGTTTCTTCAGTTGGGTGCTTCTTTTGATCCTGAAAAACACTTCATTGCCATCCTGCATTATATTAATATTTCAAACAACCTAAGTCATTTGCTCCCAACATCGTTCCTCTCCAATGGAAAGGATGTTTTAGAATCAATAGCTCACACAGAAATATATATTCACTTTCTAAAGAACTTGAAGGAAGTATCAAAAGGACTCCACAGAAATAAGGGCACGTAAAAAGGCAGAGCTAATACAAACAGCATTTCCAAACCTACTTGATGCAATACCTATACGGACAGAAAATATATGCACATTTTAAAGTATCATCTCCTAACTTTGCAATAAAAAAAGGGATCAAAACACACAACTAAGGTTCAACTCAAAGTTGCTATTAAGTTAATTGGGCAAAAGAAAAACGCTCTATTGAATTACAAACTCACATCACAATCAGTTTACCAAAGAAAAAAATAGTACACATCTTATATTGTGTAGAATTTATAAATAGGTCAACTTCCATTACCAGCTCAATGTAAACCACTTACATCACATCACTTTTAGAGACCATTGGTAACTAGGAAAGTTTAAAGTTTAAACGTTAAACTTTCGTGGCTGGCAATTTAAAAAGATAGAACTACAACCCAGGGAAAGCTTGGGTCAAGAATGTAATTCCTCGAAAAGTTGAGAAGTTATACCAAGCTAGGGGTGGCATAATTTTCCCAGGTTAGAAATAACCTTCTTATATTTATAGGATAAAACAAAACATGTTAACTAATTTTCAAAAACATCCCAAAGTACCAAAGGATTCTTAGTATTATATGTTTTTTATTTTAAAAGTAATAGAGCGAATGGTTATGAAATTTTTCACCAATTGAGGGTTTCTCAGATTCTCTATAGGCCAACACTAATGGAGACTCCAAATTAGTAAGCAACAGAGCAGTAAATAATCAATTAACCGAACAACATACAATCATTAACTTCAATTTCATTAACATCAAACCCTACTCCTAGACAAGTATATATATATATACACACACTCGTATATACAGACGCACATGTATACGCATACAAATAGAGATAGATAGAGAGAGAGAAGCGAGGAGAAACCTGTCCTTTGACTTTAAGGTTGATATGAGCGCCCTGATCGCCGCCGACGGGCTTCTTGTCTTCCTCTGCTCCGGCTGACATCTCTCTTTTGTCTTCGTGCACAATAAAGGTCGCTGCGAATCTGCAAAGCCGATTAATTGATTTGATTCTCTTTTTGTGCTTAAAAGCCACCCTACTTTTTAGATTTCATCATTTCACCCCGGGAATTTTTAATTTTTACACACTTGATCAAATCTTGAAACATTGTTGGCCCATTTTGATTTTTGGATCAAAATTTATCCAATCAATCAATGATCGATAGTGTTGAGGATTGCTCGACAAATTTAAGCTTGTAATTTTACAATTTTATCAAAATTAAATTACAAAATGTATATTGATGGGCTGGTTACTAGTTGTTAACCGTTCATTCTTGTCTTAATTGGTTAGTTTAAATTCAATTCAACTTAAAATGGGGGATTACTTTTTTTTTTTCCTGGTAATTAATTTGTAATTAACAACGTGTAATTTGTGAGATTTATCTTCCTAATTTAAGCGGAGTACATTAGACGATTGGTCAGCTTTATAAATGGTTTTGATGTAGTAAATACGAGGATTTCTACTAATCCGTAAGATACTGTGATCGGTTTCGATTTTGGTGGTTTAAGAGTTTATGCTCAGTTAATGGCGTGTGGCTAGACGTTCCTGAGCTAAATAAAGCTGTATAGGAAGCGTGATGGGCACATGCTGGGTTCTCGACATTAATGACATGTGGAGTGCATGCATAAAGGTAGCTCAACGGCACAACTAATCCCTCCACGTGCTGTGAGATTCTTGACTCCTAGGGACCCACAATTGTGACATTTCATTGAAGGAACTAGGTTTGAGTCTCCAAATATTTCAAGTCGAATGGTCGAGCTGGGTCTTGTATTTATTTTGACATTAATTTATAAAATTTATAATCATTGAGAGATCCAATATAGATAGAACTCTATTACACTGTATGATTTTAAAATATATATTTTTACTAAGATCACTTCTTAATTATTTTTGGAATAAAGGTGAACTGTACACCAAACCGAAATTAGGCCATCGAATTCAAACAAACAAAAAAAAAAAGAGTAATTGAATCCCTGACAACACAAACTCATGCAATTTAATCCAAAATGACTTATTTACCTAAACATATGTTGACGTGGCAGTTATCAAATTGATTTTTTTTAAAAAAAGAAAAAAGGTACAAATATGCTATTAAACTATTTGGATTGCATGTTATGAATGTTCTTTTAATGGGGAATGTTTGCTCAACTGCAGTTGGAAGACGAGTATGAATATCACCGCCAAAGAAAACTAAAAAAAAGTCCCCCATTAATGTGAAGACGTGCACCTGGACATACTTCGCCAACATGACTTTTATTTCCGAGGCAATCTCAGATAGAATGGTTTGTGCAAATGTGCAATAGATTTACCATCTATGATCTATGACGGTGGCTTGATGATCTGATCCTGATGACATTGCTGCTGCTCAAAGTACTTGGTAAATGAGAGAAATTGGGATTGTTGAACAGAAAATTAACATAATCATCAATCTCACATAAGAACATACATACTGAAAAGTGAAAACAATCAAAACATGAATATGCAAGCACAAAGATCTAACACATCCAGTACATATATATTTCCAACCTTAAGCTACACATTACTTACAGGTCTAACCTCTGTGGTTCAGCTGAGTTACCACGATTTACATCCTCCCAGATGCTCTGTTGGGCCGAGGTGTGGGAACCCTTAGGTTAGGGATTCAACCTTTCGGGAAGAATATTTATCTTAAAATGACGAAAAAGTCACCACATAAATAATTTAGAAAAGATCAATAAATCATTGGATCAGATTCGATGTGGTGTGCTCTTTATAATGACCTTTTCTCCCAGGCTGGTTAGCACCTTTCCGTTTACTTCTCTAACCAGGTTTCCAATTAGACTTCTTTATCATATCGTTTCCCTTGCCTCTTTCCCAACCCCTATTTGGTTGGCAGGTTTTCCGTGCTCTTCGAAGCATACTTAATGGTTTTGTTGCCTTCTTCACGGCCTGCAACAGGCATAGCCTAAGGTATGGTTGTCGACTTGTTATTTTGGCAAATTATTTGTCATATATACCTTGCAATTCTACTTTGTCTGCTCACACTTTGCATTTGCAGTATATATAATCATACAAAAGAGTTCATTCAAAAGCAATTTCAACCCGCTGAGAGGGGACAGCTTACAGTCTACACTGGCAGTGAACAACTATCAGTAATACAGAAGAAGGTGAGTCTCATGGTTTTAGACAGCATTTCATACCTGCTCTCTTGTAACATATGTAAATGATGTAAATAGTCATCTTCTCAGTGGATAAATGCATATATTCCTTTCCATTCTCAGTGGATTTTTTTTGGTAACATTGTATCAATCTCATCACCATCTTCCATCTCTAGCTGAAAATCGCAAAAAAGGGGAGCGGGGGATGGGAAGGTGGTAAGATGTCAATAAGTAGACAAGGCAAGCAAGCTTAGATATTTTTATCCTATGTCTGTGTGTGCAAGGGTGTGTCTGTGTGTGCAAGGGTGTTTTGCACACACACACACACAGAGAGAGAGAGAGAGAGAGAGAGAGAGAGAGAGAGAGAGAGACCTCATCTGGAGTCTGCTCCCATCGAAGAAAGCGACCATGAAACAGGAAAGCTGTTGAATTAAGATCCATTGATTTGTGATCACAGTATGATTTCATGAGTCTCTTCAGTCGGGTGCTTCTTTTCATCCGAAAATCAGTTCCTCCCTTCGTCGTTTCTTTCCAACAGAAAGGAGGTGTTAGAATCAATAGCTCACACAGAAATATATATTCACTTTCTAAAGAACTAGAAGGAAGTATCAAAAGGACTCCACATAGACCACAGAAATAAGGGCACGTGAAAAGGCAGAGCTAATACATACAAACCACATTTCCAACCTACGTGATGCAATACCTATACGGACAGAAAATATATGCACATTTTAAAGTATCATCTCCTAACTTTGCAATAAAAAGGGGATCAAAACACACATTTGCATTTGGCGGAATCAAAAAATGCATTGATTATTCAAAGAGAGAGCAAGTCACAAGAATCCAACTCCACAAGGTTTTATTAACTTCAAATGTAACCATACAACTAACATTCAAATCAAAGTTGCAACTAAGTTAATTGGACAGAAGAAAAATGCTCCATTGAATTACAAACTCACAACACAATCAGTTTAGCAAAGAAAAAAAAAAAAAAAAACACATCTTATATTCTTAAGCAGAATTTATAAATAGGTCAACTTCCATTACCAGCTTAATATAAACCACTTACATCAAATTACTTTTAGAGACCATTTGGTAACTAGGAAGTTTAAAGTTTAAAAGTTTAAACTTTTGTGGATGGCAACTTAAAAAGATAGAACTACAACCCAGGGAAAGCTTGCTTGGGTCAACAATGTAATTCCTCGAAAAGTTGAGAAGTTATACCAAGCTAGGGGTGGCATAAGTTTCCAAGGTAGCTGTTTACAAACCAAATGTTAGAAATAACTTTCTTATGTTTATAGGATAACCCAAAACATGTTAGCTAATTTTCAAGAACATCCCAAAGTACCAAAGGATTCTTACTATTACACAGTTCTTTTTATAGTAATAGAGTGAATGGTTATCAAGTTTTTCACCAGTTGAGGGTTTCTCAGCTTCTCTATAGGCCAAAACTAATGGAGAATCCAAATTAATAATCAAAAGAGCAGTAAATAATCAATTAACCGAACAACATACAATCATCAAATTTAACTTCAATTTCATGAACATCAAACCCTACTCCTAGGCAAGTATATACATAAACATGCACATATATACATACATACATACATACACGTATATATAAAGGCACATGTATACACATTCAAATAGAGATAGATAAAGAGAGAGAAGCGAGGAGAAACCTGTCCTTTGACTTTAAGGTTGATATGAGCGGCCTGGTCGCCGCAGACGGGCATCTTGTCTTCCTCTGCTCCGGCCGACATCTCTCTTCTGTCTTTGTGCACAATAAATTGCTTATGCACAGTTTGGTGTAGCATTGCATCAATCTCATCACCATCTTCCATCTCCAGCTGAAAATCGCCAAAAAGGGGAGCGGGGGATGGGAAGGTGGTAAGATGTCAATAAGTAGACAAGGCAAGCGAGATTAGATATTTTTATCCTATGTCTTTGTGTGTGCAAGGGTGTTTTGCACAGAGAGAGAGAGAGAGAGAGAGAGAGAGACCTCATCCGGAGTCTGCTCCCATCGAAGACGGCGACCATGAAACAGGAAAGCTGTTGAATTAAGATCCACTGATTTGTGATCACAGTATGATTTCATGAGTTTCTTCAGTCGGGTGCTTCTTCTCATCCTGAAAATCAGTTCCTCCCTTCGTCGTTTCTTTCCAACGGAAAGGAGGTGTTAGAATCAATAGCTCACACAAAAATATATATTCACTTTCTAAAGAACTTGAAGGAAGTATCAAAAGGACTCCACATGGGCACGTGAAAAGGCAGAGCTAATACAAACCACATTTCCAACCTACTTGATGCAATACCTATACGGACAGAAAATATATGCACATTTTAAAGTATCATCTCCTAACTTTGCAATAAAAAAGGGATCAAAACACACATTTGCATTTGACGGAATCAAAAACTGCATTGATTATTCAAAGAGAGAGTAAGCTTCACAAGAATCCAACTCCACCATGTTATATGAACTTCAAATATAACCATACAACTAAGGTTCAACTCAAAGTTGCAACTAAGTTAATTGGAGAAAAGAAAAATGCTCCATTGAATTACAAACTCACAACACAATCGGTTTAGCAAAGAAAAAAAATAGAACAAACACCTTATATTCTTAAGCAGAATTTATAAATAGGTCAACTTCCATTACAAGCTTAATATAAACCACTTACATCACATTACTTTTAGAGACCATTGGGTAACTAGGAAGTTTAAAGTTTTAACGTTAAACTTTTGTGGATGGCAATTTAAAAAGATAGAACTACAACCCAGGGAAAGCTTGGGTCAAGAATGTAATTCCTCGAAAAGTTGAGAAGTTAAACCAAGCTAGGGGTGGCATAAGTTTCCAAGGTAACTGTTTACAAACCAAATGTTAGAAATAACTTTCTTATGTTTTTAGGATAACCCAAACCATATTAACTAGATTTCAAGAACATCCCAAAGTACCAAAGGATTCATAGTATTATATGTTTTTTTTTTTTTAGTAATAGAATGAATGGTTATCAAGTTTTTCACCAATTAAGGGTTTCTCAGCTTCTCTATAGGCCAAAACTAATGGAGAATCCAAATTAGTAAGCAACAGAGTAGTAAATAATCAATTAACCGAACAACATACAATCATCAAATTTAACTTCAATTTCATTAACATCAAACCCTACTCCTAGGCAAGTATATATATAAACATGCACATATATACATACTTACACACACGTATATATAGAGGCACATGTACACACATTCAAATAGAGATAGATAGAGAGAGAGAAGCGGGGAGAAACCTGTCCTTTGACTTTAAGGTTGATATGAGTGGCCTGGTTGCTGCAGACAGACATCTTGTCTTCCTCTGCTCCGGCCGACATCTCTCTTCTGAATTGCTTATGCACAGTTTGGTGTAGCATTGCATCAATCTCATCACCATCTTCCATCTCCAGCTGAAAATCCCCAAAAAGGGGAACGGGGGATGGGAAGGTGGTAAGATGTCAATAAGTAGACAAGGCAAGCAAGCTTAGATATTTTTATCCTATGTCTTTGTGTGTGCAAGGGTGTTTTGCACAGAGAGAGAGAGAGAGAGAGACCTCATCTGGAGTCTGCTCCCATCGAAGACGGCGACCATGAAACAGGAAAGCTGTTGAATTAAGATCCATTGATTTGCGATCGCAGTATGATTTCATGAGTCTCTTCAGTCGGGTGCTTCTTTTCATCCTGAAAATCAGTTCCTCCCTTCGTCGTTTCTTTCCAATGGAAAGGAGGTGTTAGAATCAATAGCTCACACCGAAATATATATATTCACTTTCTAAAGAACTTGAAGGAAGTATCAAAAGGACTCCACATAGACCACATAAATAAGGGCACGTTAAAAGGCAGAGCTAATACATACAAACCACATTTCCAACCTACTTGATGCAATACCTATACGGACAGAAAATATATGCACATTTTAAAGTATCATCTCCTAACTTTGCAATAAAAAGGGGATCAAAACACACTTTTGCATTTTACGGAATCAGAAACTGCATTGATTATTCAAAGATAGAGTAAGCTTCACAAGAATCCAACTCCACAAGGTTTTATGAACTTCAAATGTAACCATACAACTAAGGTTCAACTCAAAGATGCAACTAAGTTAATTGGACAAAAGAAAAATGCTCCATAGAATTACAAACTCACAACACAATCAGTTTAGCAAAGAAAAAAAAAATTAGCACACATCTTATATTCTTATGTAGAATTTATAAATAGGTCAGCTTCCATTACCAGCTTAATATAAACCACTTACATCACATTACTTCTAGAGACCATTTGGTAACTCGGAAAGTTTAAAGTTTAAACTTTAAACTATTGTGGCTGGCAATTTAAAAAGATAGAACTACAACCCAGGGAAAGCTTGGGTCAACAATGTAATTCCTCGAAAAGTTGAGAAGTTATACCAAGCTAGGGGAGGAATAAGTTTACAAGGCAACTGTTTACAAACCAAATGTTAGAAATAACTTTCTTATGTTTATAGGATAACCCAAAACATATTAACTAATTTTCAAGAACATCCCAACGTACCAAAGGATTCATAGTATTATATGTTTTTTTTATAGTAATAGAGTGAATGGTTATCAAGTTTTTAACCAATTGAGGGTTTCTCAGCTTCTCTATAGGCCAAAACTAATGGAGAATCCAAATTAGTAAGCAACAGAGCAGTAAATAATCAATTAACCGAACAACATACAATCATCAAATTTAACATCAAACCCTACTCCTAGGCAAGTATATATATAAACATGCACATATATACATACTTACACACACGTATATATAGAGGCACGTGTACACACATTCAAATAGAGATAGATAGAGAGAGAGAAGCGGGGAGAAACCTGTCCTTTGACTTTAAGGTTGATATGAGTGGCCTGGTTGCTGCAGACGGACATCTTGTCTTCCTCTGCTCTGGCCGACATCTCTCTTCTGTCTTCGTGCACAATAAATTGCTTATGCACAGTTTGGTGTAGCATTGCATCAATCTCATCACCATCTTCCATCTCCAGCTGAAAATCCCCCAAAAGGGGAACGGGGGATGGGAAGGTGGTAAGATGTCAATAAGTAGACAAGGCAAGCAAGCTTAGATATTTTTATCCTATGTCTTTGTGTGTGCAAGGGTGTTTTGCACAGAGAGAGAGAGAGAGACCTCATCTGGAGTCTGCTCCCATCGAAGACGGCGACCATGAAACAGGAAAGCTGTTGAATTAAGATCCATTGATTTGCGATCACAGTACGATTTCATGAGTCTCTTCAGTCGGGTGCTTCTTTTCATCCTGAAAATCAGTTCCTCCCTTCGTCGTTTCTTTCCAATGGAAAGGAGGTGTTAGAATCAATAGCTCACACAGAAATATATATATTCACTTTCTAAAGAACTTGAAGGAAGTATCAAAAGGACTCCACATAGACCACATAAATAAGGGCACGTGAAAAGGCAGAGCTAATACATACAAACCACATTTCCAACCTACTTGATGCAATACCTATACGGACAGAAAATATATGCACATTTTAAAGTATCATCTCCTAACTTTGCAATAAAAAGGGGATCAAAATACACTTTTGTATTTTATAGAATCAGAAACTGCATTGATTATTCAAAGAGAGAGTAAGCTTCACAAGAATCCAACTCCACAAGGTTTTATGAACTTCAAATGTAACCATACAACTAAGGTTCAACTCAAAGATGCAACTAAGTTAATTGGACAAAAGAAAAATGCTCCATAGAATTACAAACTCACAACACAATCAGTTTAGCAAAGAAAAAAAAATTTAGTACACATCTTATATTCTTATGTAGAATTTATAAATAGGTCAGCTTCCATTACCAGCTTAATATAAACCACTTACATCACATTACTTCTAGAGACCATTTGGTAACTAGGAAAGTTTAAACTTTAAACTTTAAACTTTTGTGGCTGGCAATTTAAAAAGATAGAACTATAACCCTGGGAAAGCTTGGGTTCCTCGAAAAGTTGATAAGTTATACCAAGCTAGGGGTGGCATAATTTTCCCAGGTAACAGTTCACAAACCAAATGTTAGAAATAACTTTCTTATGTTTATAGGATAACCCAAAACATATTAACTAATTTTCAAAGAACATCCCAAAGTACCAAAGGATTCATAGTATTATATGTTTTTTTTATAGTAATAGAGTGAATGGTTATCAAGTTTTTCACCAATTGAGGGTTTCTCAGCTTCTCTATAGGCCAAAACTAATGGAGAATCCAAATTAGTAAGCAACAGAGCAGTAAATAATCAATTAACCGAACAACATACAATCATCAAATTTAACTTCAATTTCATTAACATCAAACCCTACTCCTAGGCAATTATATATATAAACATGCACATACATACATACATACATACACACACGTATATATAGAGGCACATGTATACACATTCAAATAGAGAGAGATAGAGAGAGAGAGAGAAGCAAGGAGAAACCTGTCCTCTGACTTTAAGGTTGATATGAGCGGCCAGATCGCCGCCGACGGGCATCTTGTCTTCCTCTGCTCCGGCCGACATCTCACTTCTGTCTTCGTGCACAATAATGGCGGCTGCGAATCTGCAAAGCCGATTAATTGATTTAATTTTCTTTTTGTGCTTAAAAGCCACCCTACTTTTTAGATTTCATCATTTCACCCCGGGGATCTTTAATTTTTACACACTTGATCGAATCTTGAAACATTGTTACAATTATGCCCATTTTGATTTTTGGATCAAAATTTATCCAATGAATCAATGATTGATAGTGTTGAGGATTGCTCGACAAGTTTAAGCTTGTAATTTTACAATTTTTTTTTCAAAAATACAAAATGTATATTGGTGGGTTGGTTACTAGTTATCAACTATTTTATGTGGTTAGTTTAGACTCAATTCAACTTATAAGGTTGAGATTATCCCAATAAAAATAACATTGACAAACTGATGTGAAAATTTAAAAAAGTATTGTTTATTTTGTTGAGTTGTCTATGTGTCTAGTAAATTGCTATGCAGCCTTTGCAGCCAAAATGACAGCAAAAGCTGTCGCCACAATACTTTTTTTAAATAATTTTTTATTATTATTTTTTTATTATATTTATAATATAAAAATGGAATTCTTTTTAGAGCGAGAGAGATTTGCAGGATATAGAACAAATTGTGAAAATTTTGTAAAATTAATGATGTGAGAGTGTACCCAATTTTCAAAGTTAGAGAGATTTGTATGGATAATAATAGCCTAGCTAACTGTGGGATTACTTTTTTTCCCTTTAGACAATTTTTTTTTTTTTTTTGAAAACATTAATTTGTAATTAATAACATGTGATTCTAGAGATTACCTTCCTAATTTAGGTTGAGTACAGTAGTTGATTGTTGAGCTTTATAAATGGTTCAAAAATACTTTTTGCTCTAGTAAATAATACATTTACTACAATTCTTTTGATTTTCTTAATAAATTCTTTATTTTAATTTGTAGTGCTGGTCAATCATATATTGCTTAGGTTGTAAAACCAACACGTATATTAAATTCCTTATAATTGATGGGCATTTTATATCTACCATACAAGGTGTCATTACATGTTTTTTATACAATGTGCTATTCAAAATTTACAAATTGCATTAGACACATTATAGGAAGGGAGATTATATTTGATAAAATCATACAAACTAATGCCAAAATATGGCAACTATTTATCAATGAATAAATATAAAAATAAAATAAAAACCCACTAAAGTTGACCACTAACCATACTATTAACTCAGTAGTATTGGCAATATTAACTTGGGGAAGCAAACATAAAGATCAATGGTAATTTAGTTGGCGACTTGTTGTATATGACTGAGAATTTGATACTTATTATTATTATGTTTATTTGCCTACTGTTATCATCTTAATATTTGATTCAAATTTTATAGTTAGTAGTCAAGTAGTCATAAAACACATTATCATTTTTCTTCCTTACTTTTAAACAATGTGGTCAAAATGATGAAGAAAAAAAAAACAAATAAAAATGTCATTGTTTGTCTTTTGATTACAATGTCTATTTACTACCCCACACACACACCAAAAAAACAAAAACAACAAAAAACAAAAACAAAAAAAAAAAAAAAAACAAAAACAAAAACAAAAACAAAAACAAAAAAAAAAAAACAAAAACAAAAACAAAAAAGAAATAAAACTTTAACTCATTACAATTATAAAAATTTGATTCTAGTTCTAATGTTTGAACCAAACACCCCCAAGTGCTCTCAAACTTTAAAAATACAACAAATTAAGAGTTAAATCCACTTTTGGTCCTACATTTATTGTGCATGGGACACATTTTGCCCGCTTTTATTAATTTTGCCACATATTGCCTAGACTTTCTAAAAGTTGGACAATTTTAGTCCGTTGTTACATTTAGAGTTTAACAGCCGTGAAGTAGGAGGACATTTATGTCCTTTCATGTCCATTTCGTTTTATATTTGTTTGGATGGGGAGAGAAGAATGGGTTATTGATTTTTTACCTGGGAAGAAGCTTTGGTTTTCAGGATGGATGTTTGTAATCTCTGCATTGACTATTCTTCATGATTTTTCAGATTTTCTGCCCATCTGAGCCGAGTGGATTGTTTTCTTTAGCATGGAAAAGCATTGGAATCTTGAGTCTGCCGTACACCATTGTTGATAATCTTGTTGTCTGCATAGAAATTTGTTGAGGAGAACAAAAATGGCGACTACCCAGGTCCAAACTTCTCCCTCTAAGAGTGTGCTGAGAAAGAAGAGCCATTTTCACAAGAATCTCAAGGTTTTGGTGAGTTCTTGTGGTTCCGATCGGCGGGGGGAACGATTCAGATTCCAATGAAAACGGTATTGTGATTGACATTACAGACCTTTGGGTTCATAAACCCCAATATCTGGACAAAACGCGTAGGAATGATGAGAGGAATACGAGTATTGAGGATTCTGGTAATTGGGATAAAGTCGGAGAAATTGTGTTTTCTAGGGAGGGGAAAAACGCAGGCGAGAATAAATCGGAGAACTTGCCGTCTAGGTCGGATGCCTCGGCGGTGAGGTTTCTAATTTCGGCGGCGTCTCCTCCCTCGTGCGGCAGTGGAGAAAATTCGGAGTGGTTGCAAAAATCGTCAATTCCGATGTCGCCGCCGCCAACACCAATAACAACTCGTCTATCAACATCTCCATAAGCTATTCCACCGCCTCTACACTGTGCGATGATTCTTCAATCGAAGGAAGGCGCGTGCAATCGTCCTCCAGTGACGGGGAATCCGACAGGACGACGCCTCCTTTGCACGACAAAGACTCCGATGCATCGGAGAGAGAGAGAGGCTAAAGGTCGTCGGTATCATAAAAAAACTTACCTGCAACATCAGCGAAGAAAATCACAGTGATCACGGAGGCATTGAATCCCCATCGCCGCGAGTTAGAACTCCGTCCGATCACTCCCCGCTGCTGTGAAATTGCCTCGCTTCATCAGAGGCCGCAAGGCATTTGTTGATTTGCTTATGTAAATGGAGCGCGAGAGGGTTAGGAAGATTGAAGCACTTATGAAACGCAAAACTGTCTCAAAGTTCTAGCACAAAGGGCGCATGGACATGAAAGGACATAAATGTCCTTATACTTCACGGTTGTTTAACGCCAAATATAACGGTGGACTAAAATTGTCCAACTTTTATAAAGTCTAGGCAAAATGTGACAAAATTAATAAAAGCGGACAAAATATGTCCAATGTGCAATAAATGTAGGATCAAAAGTGGATTTAACAACATGCAATTTAAATTAAAAAAAAAAGGAATTTGATATCTTTTAAAAATTAGCTTTACGATGCTTGTGTAATTAAATTAACCTTTGCATTTATGACCCTCATGCAACTTTTTTTTTTTTTTTTAAATCAAAATTATTGAAGCTATGCAATGAAAATAGATAGTTATACAACAATTGCAGTTTTATAGTAAGTTGGAAGATATTTATGTCATTTTATTCACACTTATAAGTTTAAAATATATAATTAAGAATATATGAATAATATTTACTCAAAATGTGCAGTTATTCTCTACTTGTAATCTGTATTATCTTTTATTGAAAAAAACAAACTATCTTGGGTATGACACCAAGAAGACTTCAAAGATTAGATGTTTTAAATTAAATGAAAATATTAGATTGGGAAATTAAAAATAAATGCATTAAAAAATCAATTACAATTTTATTATATTAGAAAAGGCCTATGATCGGCTCTCGTGGAATTTTAGTAATGACATTTTTTTTATGCAGGTTTCAATGAAGCTACTTCACACATTATAATGGAATGTGTACAAACGACGTCTATGTCTATCACATAGAATAGGGAACGCTTAGCACAGTTTAAACCGGGAAGGGGAATTCGGCAGGGCGACGCTATGTCACCCGCTCTGTTTGTCCTATGCATGGAGCGGTTAAGCCAAAACATCATAACGGAAGTAGCGAATGGAAGATGGACGGGAATCAAGTTATCACAGGCTGGTCCATCTTTGTCACATTTGTGCTTCGCGGATGACATGTCATTTTCTCAGAAGCGTCTTTGGACCAGGTAAGGGTGATACAACAATGTCTGACGCAGTTCTGCGAGGCGTCTGGGTAAAACATCAGCCTGAGTAAATCCCATGTGTTCTTTTCGGGCAATACAAGCATAGATGTTGCGAATGAGATTCCGCAAAGCCTAAACATCCCAGCGACCAAGGACTTGGGCAGGTACTTGGGGATGCCGTCCGTGCATGGTAGAGTTACCCAGGCAACTTTCTCAGGGTTAATTGATCGCGTGACGGCAAGACTCGAAGGGTGGCGCAACAAACTTCTGTCTTTCGCAGGTAGAGTCACCTTGGCCAAGTCTGTTCTCGGCGTGATACCCACGTACTCGATGCAAACTGCGTACTTGCCGAAGGGGGTGTGCAATAAACTGGAGATGATTACTAGACGCTTCATTTGGGGAGGCAACGAGGACTCGCGGAAGATTAGCCTTGTCAGGTGGGATACAGTGACTGCCCCTAAGGAAGTAGGGGGCCTAGGAATGCGGAACCTTCAACATGTGAATTCGGCGTTTATGGCAAAGCTTGGGTGGCGGCTTCTCACGGAGCGGAATAGCCTGTGGGCACAGGTTTTGCGAACCAAGTATAGCCTCGGAGAGGGCCGTTGGAGAGCTACTAGCAACAGGAACGCGTCGAATACTTGGTGAGGGATTAGTAGTGCTTCCGACCTGTTGAAGAGGGGTCTGACAAGAGTGGTGCGCAATGGATGGGAGACTCAGTTTTGGATGGATCGATGGGTACAGGGGCAACGGCTTTATGACTTTATGCAAAAACCAGTCTCTCTACCGGAGCTATATGCTCCGGTAGCTGATTATTGGGAGACGGGGCGGGGCTGGAAGTGGGAAATGATGGATGGCGTTTTGGATGAAGATTGGAGACGGAAGTTGCATGTGTACGCCGTTCTGGACGGAGATGAGGCGAGGGATGATTGGGGATGGAGTATGGAGTTGAGTGGCAGCTTCTCTATCAAATCAGCTTATGCTGCCCTGCGCGGAACAAATAGCGAAGAATCTGGAAGCTGAGAGTCCCTAACAAAATCAATCACTTTTTGTGGCTGGTCAAACAAGGGAGGCTTATGTCTAATGTTGAACGTACTAAACGGGGCTTTACAACTGATTCTTTTTGCTCATCTTGTGTAGGAATACCAGAGAATTTGGAGCATATTTTCAGATCATGCACGGAAGTGACGCGGTTATGGGAGGTGCTAATGCCCCACAATGCTAGACGGATGCTCCGCGGAAGTGACTGGCGAACCTGGCTGTCCAAAAACCTCCAGTCTGATCAGCGTTTTGGCTTTGATGAGGACTGGCCAGAGTTGTTTGGGCTAGCTATGTGGTGGTGTTGGAGGTGGAGAAACGCCAGAGTCTTTGATGAGAACCATCTGAGCACGGAGCAAAAGGTGGCGTGGACTCGGACTCAACAGAGCCAAACGAATGCGGCCTTCAAGACAGCATGGGTGGTTAACGCTGGACCTCGAAATGACACGGCCTGTATCGCCTGGACGAAGCCTCCAACGGGGTGGTTGAAATTGAATGTCGATGGGTGCTGCAAAGGTGTCGAGCAACGGGCAGGGTGTGGGGGGTGTTTTGCGTGATCACATGGGAAGATGGATCCACGGAGTGACGCACAATATCGACTCCTGTACAGCTGAAGAGGCAGAGGCGTGGGTAGTGCTTGTGGGGATCCGTATGGCGTTAGGTTGCCGTGCTCGGAGAGTCCTGGTGGAGAGCGATTCGCTAGCCACTATTAAGAACATCACCGCATGTTTCGACACAGGCATGGGAAGCAATGTCGTGCGACTTTGTGTGCGGGAGGCACGTGCGTTCCAAGATGTGCAATTCGCCCATGTGGTGAGCGGAGGAAACAAAGTGGCAAATAGGCTAGCATTGATCGCTTTAGATCATGAACTTGGGACTCGGCTCACGGTTAATCACCCTCAATGCATAGAGGATATCCTATGGGAGGACAGGGTCGGGGCTTACGCGGTCCGTAGGGTACCCCCACAATGATAAGAAGAAGCTGTTTTTTTAGTGTTCTTACCCTGGCTTAAACCCTCTTATTGTAACCCAAAAAAAAAAAAAATGGTTGGAAGATAAAATATGAGATTTAATATAAAATAATTTATATGTATGTTTGCACTAATTTAATAAAATAATTTATGTATATTGTTCATATGAGAGATTTGAGGAAATAAGAGAGGTAAATCAATATAGGAATTTGAACTTATAGCTTTTGTAATTACTAAGACCCTAACAAACTTTGTTAGAGTTGTCCCTATAACAACATTAATTGTTATACACTATTATTGTAAAAATTTTTTTTAAAAAAAAAACACTTTGTTTACAATCACAACAAATGCAAATAAATAAAGAATTAAGACCTTACAACTTCTTCAATAAATCAAGACGATTCCTCATTATATTTATTTTAAAATGATGAAAAAGTCACCTCATAAATAATTTAATTAGAAATAAAAATAAAAAATAAGAATAAAGATCAAATAAATCATTGAACCAGATTCGAAAAATATGATTATGCTATCAAACTATAAAAATACAACTAAACATTTGGTTGGGTATTCAAAATCATAGAATATGTCTCAATACAACTAAACGTTTGGGTATTCAAAATCATAGAATATGTCTCAAATAACGGATTGTCATGTAGAAATGTCTATGAAAAGTTAACATGACATATTATGCAAAAACAAAATATTAGAAAAATTAGAAAAACAAAAAATTTAAATGGTTATTGACTACTTCCAAAGATCTACATATAGAAACCATTGACATTCGCCTCCAAGCGGAGACAAAGATTTTCTTTTATAGAATCATCATTTTTGTAGGCAAATGTCTCCATACCATTATACCAATAGTCTTCAGTCGAGGATTGGGTCTTGAATTCGTGATCGAAGACCTTCAACGATTAGTTAATTTTGAAAATTTATTTATTTATTTTTTTGAAAGGGAATTTATTTTTTAAAAATTTTAAAAAATAGTAATATAAAGTATCATATCGTGTTTATTGGCATTTTATGGTTCAAAAATACACTCTTATATACAGTACAAAATAAGGACCAAAAATGTTGTTTTCGTTGATTTGTATTGAAATTGTGCAATACCAAAAAGGTTGTTTTCCCTCATTTGTATTCAAATTGCGCAATACCAAAAATGTAGTTTTCGTTCATTTGTGTTGAAATTGTGCAATACCATTATACCAAAAATGTTGTTTTCCGTCATTTGTATTCAAATTGTTCAAACCCTTTTTTTTTTTCGAAAATTTAGTGAAGTTCAAAATATGGAATATGCGACAGCAGTGAAATAAATGTGAACTGCATGTGCTCCCCTATGCAACCAAAACTCCAAAAGCTTTTTCCTTTTGTCGTCAACTTCTGATCAACGGGCCCCACGCACCCACCACCACCTCCTCGTTCTCCTCAACGTCCTCACATACTCACCACTCATTCTTCCATTTATTTATTTTTTATAAATTTAGTACTCTTCTCAAAAGGTTGAATCCCTAATTCCGAAGCCTCCTAATAACATACCGGGCACAATGAATCCCTCATTTTGAAAGATAGCTCTAGTGAAACTCAATTTCTTATCAATCTTTATAAATTTTACCCAATAACTAATTGAGCTGTCCATACGGACTCTGTAAATTTATTATTGAGTATATGATAGACTAAGCTTAAGTCCTTATAACCTTGTTCATGATTCTTATTAACTTTGTGACCCAATCAATAGAGTGATAACTTTAAATAAAGTGTTATACCACATGAACTCGTCCCTTTATTTATTTACTTTTATAAGTCAAGATTTTCAAATTCATCATTTTTTTTTTTTTTTTTTTGGAGAAAAAGTACCATTTCATTAACTCAAATCATGATACATATTATTGACAATAAAAGGAAGATACTATCAATCATCCACACCTTAGGTACATACATAGAACATGCTTCCCTAGCTAATAAATGAGCAACTATGTTCGTAGTACATTTAACATGAGAGATAATTACATGTAACAAATAAGCTAACATATCTTTAATATCTAAACCTAAGAGACTAAAAGAAGAAACACCTTCATTCTCACTACGCCTTTTATCAATTATATCTTAGATCGCATGCATGAATCAATCTCCAGGCCTATGACTCCATGAGAAGTTAAATAAAGTCAAATTAATTTGTAAACTCAACATTAAATTATACACAAACAATAAAGAAAAGTTAATTCAAATCCATATCATATATTCCATCTGTCCTATTTTATCTGTCTTATTTATTATTCATTAGTCAAATCAATTATTTATACTTTGTTTATTTTCTTTAATATAGTTTTTAAATATATATTTTGTATATTAATACTAAAGAGTAAATACCCAAAATGGTCCATCGACTATAGCTAAATTCACAAATTGGTCATCAACTTTCAATTTCAACCAATTAAGTCCTTAACTTTGTAATTTTGACACGATTTGGTCCTTCATTTATTTCACCGTTTGTTGACCGTGATCGACGATCTCCAGAAGAACCTTCAGCTATTGTCGGAGCACGTGGAAGCCTCCAGGATGACATTGCACTGGTTGGGAAACATGTCGTCTTCTTTACTCTGGTACAAACTCAACTACATTGAATCCAAAGGGATGATGAAGAAAGGCGACCAGATTTGGTAGATTGCTTTCGGCAGTGGATTCAAATGTAACAGTGTGGTCTGGAAATGCAACCAGAACCTTAAAAAATCGACGATGGACCATGAAATTACACATATATCTTCAAAAATCACAGTCAACAAACGGTCAAATAGACAGAGGACCAAATTGTGTTAAAATAACAAAGTTAAGGACTTAATTGGTTGAAATTGAAAATTGAGGACCAATTTATGAATTTAGCTATAGTCGAGGGACCATTTTAGGTATTTACTCAATACTAAACTTTAATATTAAGAAGGGTTGAAGTGATATTTCTCCACCACAACCTAAGTCCCGGTACACTACTCCATTTATTAACTTCACTCCCTTCTCCCACTATTTCTGCTCTGTAATTCTCTCTCTTTTTCGTGCTCTGCTTCTGTGTCTGTAGAACCAGAGCGCGCATGGAGTACTTCTCCTTCCTCCCTCTCCTCCTCATTTCCGTTTCCGCCGTTACTTTTGCAGACGGTGGCTCGATAGGAGTGAACTACGGCAGGGTTGCTAACAACCTGCCGTCGGCTGTGAAGGTGGTGGAGCTTCTTAAGTCGCAGGGGTTGGATCGGGTCAAGGTTTACGACACCGACCCGGCTGTTCTCAAGGCGTTTTCCGGATCCGGTATAAAGCTCACCGTCAACCTCCCCAACGAGCAGCTCTACAATGCGGCTAAACGGGAGTCGTTTGCGTACGCCTGGGTCCAGCGTAATGTCGCCGCCCACCACCCGGATACCAGGATCGAGGCCATCGCCGTCGGGAATGAGGTGTTTGTTGACCCGCATAATACGACCCGGTTTCTTATCCCCGCCATGAAAAACATCCACGAAGCTCTTGTCAAGTTCAATCTCCATGGAGATATTAAGGTTTCATCCCCAATCGCGCTCAGTGCGTTGCATAACTCGTACCCCTCCTCAGCCGGGTCGTTTCGGCCGGAGTTTGTTGAATCCGTGATGAAACCCTTGCTGGACTTCCTCCGTCAAACCGGGTCGTACATGATGGTGAACTGTTACCCGTTCTTCGCCTACGAGTCGAACTCCGACGTCATCCCGCTCGATTACGCGCTCTTCAGGGAGAATCCCGGCGTCGTAGACGCCGGAAACGGCCTCCGTTACTTCAACCTCTTCGACGCCCAAATTGACGCCGTTTTCGCGGCCATGACGGCGTTGAAGTACGACGACATCAAATTGGTCGTCACCGAAACCGGATGGCCATCCAAAGGAGATTCCAACGAGCTCGGCGCCAGTATAGAAAATGCAGCGGCGTACAACGGCAACATGGTCCGGAGAATCCTCACCGGCGGCGGGACCCCACTGAGACCCAACGAGGACCTCACGGTGTACCTTTTCGCCCTCTTCAACGAGAACAAGAAATTCGGCCCAACCTCGGAGAGAAACTTCGGACTATTCTACCCCGACCAACGGAAAGTCTACGACATTCCGTTCACAACGGAAGGTCTGAAGACCTACCGGGAAGTCCGGCCGCCGGTCGCCGGAAATCAGAGGATTTCAAAGCGGGGAAAGGGTAACGCATCGGGAAACGTTTCAGGACAGACGTGGTGCGTGGCGAACGGGGAAGCGGGAAAAGAAAGGCTGCAGGCGGGTCTAGACTACGCTTGCGGTGAGGGCGGGGCGGACTGCCGTTCGATCCAGCCGGGATCCACGTGCTACAATCCTAACACTCTAGAGGCGCACGCTTCGTTCGCTTTCAACAGTTACTATCAGAGGAAGGGGCGTGCCGGCGGCACGTGCTACTTCGGCGGGGCCGCCTACGTTGTCATGCAACAACCTAGTATGCACTCTGATTCCTTCTTAATCCCCTCGTTTTACCTTACCACAGTAAATTTTGTTTTAACCCTGAACTTAATTATGCCTAAATTAGCTTAATTGTTGACTTTAGTCAGAAACATAAATTTCTGGGATATCCCGATATCCCACGCCAGTTTATATCGGCGTATTTTACGGGGTAAAACGGCGCTCTAGCTAACGTGCGCGGGAATCAAATGGCTTCATGGGCCACACAAGTATGGAAAGTGGGTGGACTGTAGGCAACCAGCCAATTAGGTGATTGGGTAGCACGTGATTGACGGAGACATGCTCAGTTTGTCCCCATTAATTAGTGAAAAATGAAAAATACTATATGAATTTTCATTTTTAACTCATAATTTTTATTTTTATACACAAAATCTTGATGCATATATTTTTATTATAATGAAAACGTGTGCTCTATCTCAACTAAAAGTTTGATTACTTTTTGAGGTCTCTTTTTTGAATTCTAATATCAAATTGAAGCATGTGCTCCATTTCAACTAGAAGGTTAAGCTGATAGTTGAATTGCACATTAATGGTTATATGCTCAACCATTAAGACTTGATAAAAGTAGCCGCACCCACCACATCAGAAAGTAAAATTTAATAAGTAAAATTTGAGAATCCATATAGTGAAACTCTTAATTAGTAGTATTGTTTTTGTGCCTGGATATTTATGCCTTCGATTTAGAATTTGTTACATAAAGTAATTATCTTAAGTTATTTATAGATGATCGGCTCAAAATAAAGAAGATCAATAAAATTAGAGGTTAAAACTTATAATTTAGTGATTATCAAATTAATAATCTAATTGGGTGGGTTGCTTTTTGGTCTGTTCATAGGGTCATAGCTTGATTTCATTCTTCTTTTTCTAATTCCTTGGTAATTTTGCTTTTTGTCTTTTCAGAATTTGGGAACTGTGAATTACCCACTGAAGATTGAACACCCCCATAGGCCATAGCAGACTTTGATGACCAAAAAGTCCAAAACTTTATTGGATTTTGAATGAAGTGTAGTGCATAGATGCTACTACTAGAGTGTCTATGGAAATTACTGCGCTTATCTATCCAGGAATCACCATAGTTACTGTTGGGTTTAGTGAATTCATTTTTGTGATTGTGGGGGGGAAAACTAATGTAATGTGTATTAAGTTGTTACATAGTACTCTGTAATTTCTTTTCCCTTTTCATTGTCTACTGCTAGTACTACTTACAGCTTATAATGTTGATTAATCTCTGTAGTGCATTCAGTTGATGAAAGCTAATGGGAATAATATAGTACCACTTCAAAATTATCTCTCATGTCTTTCTGTTTTTTCGTACTTGTTTGGTTTAGGTTGTGTATATTTTACAGGGTAAAAGAATTTGCGTTATATTAGTTTTTAAGAATCTCTTTCCACAATTTAACATTTTGAGGACTTTCTAAAGGCAAATTTAAGAGTACCAAAAGGGTTCAAAAGTTCCATAGGATCCTTCACTGCACAACCTTTAGTACTTGCCTTTGTTTGGAGATATAGAGGGAATATGTACTGTGCAATGGGTATCCATTATCCATATGGACCATGTCCAACTTTCCAACTCTTTGGCCTAACATTGTTCCCAAAAAGTTGAAATTTCACCTTTGTGATCAATTGAGCTGTCCATGCGGGCAACTCTCCGACTTAACATGTCTTTGAATTATATGATGTCATCCAAAACCAATATTAACCACTATTCTTGTAGCAAAACTTTAAACTAATCAGTCGAATTAACTGAACTAACTCTGCAGAGCCAAGTAAATCTTATTTTAGGTACTATTTCATACTAATTAGGAATTTTTTTCAAGTTGAAAATCAAACTTGTGATCAGATTTATAAAGTTGAACCACAAGGTATTTAGCATTACTAAGCTTCATGCTTTGATGCTTGACTTGTCAGACTTGTATTGGTATTTATATCATACAGACATCATATCTAATCATCTATGTTTATTTATATTCAGAATAATGGTTGAAATGATTAATGTAGGACATTTTAATCTAGATCTTACATGTTATGATTTCTAATTTAAAAAAAGTGGAAAATTATTACTCCTACCACAATAAAGGATACATGTACTACAACCCCACAAAGAGAGAGAGAGAGAGATGAGGTATAAAGAAAGGAGGATGTAGTGGTTAAAGTAAAGAGGGTGAACCAACCACCACATGTTGCAATGTAGATCTGATCTATAAGAAATTAATTTTTTTCTTAGGAAATTGAATGGTGTAGTGGAAATTTGAGTGTGGGAGTGTGGGACTCCTTGCCCCTTCTTCCCCCATATGATCATCTATCTGTCTATCATCTTCTGCTTCTGCTCACCAGCTCACATGGTCGCTACTGTATATAAAATTGCGTCATTCATCTGTTTATGAGATTGTTGTCCATTTCGCTTTCGCCAAACGTACTCATTGGAGTCGGTTCTGACTTATGTTCTGCTACTGTCTCTACATAATTGACTAATCACAGAGATTTGTGTGATGTTCTACACACTGGACCTCAGGTGAATTTTTAAAGTTCATCAGACTTAATTTTTAAGTGTCCCAATTCCACAATGCAATAGTTATGCTGTGCAACCGAATGTACCATGCGCATGGTGCATACGGTTCAAAACGACGTCGTTTTGATTAAAAACGCGCGTCCCACTTTAAAAAAAAAAATCAGGTTCGACTCTCAGCAATAGCATTATTGTGGATATATAGTTATGAAATTGTGGTTATATAGTTATGAATTTATGGATATTTAGTTCATTCATTGTGGATATTTAGTTCAATCATATATTGTGGATATTTAGTTCATTCATTGTGGATTTTTACTTCATTCATTCATTCATTGTGGATTTTTACTTCATTCATTCACTGTGGATATATAGTTATGAAATTGTGGATATATAGTTATGAAATTGTGGTTATATAGTTATGAATTTCTGGATATATAAAAATGCTATTGTCGGGAATCGAACCTGATTTCTTCTTTAAGTGGGACGCGCGTTTTTTTAACCAAAACGGCACCGTTTTGCAACCGTATGCACCTTGCAAGGTGCATTCGGTTGCACAGCATAATTTGCGTCCACAATCTTGTCCGGCTAAGTTTTAGGGCCTTTTGGGCCAGAAATTTCATCTTTTATGGCTCATTCTTAAGTTATGAGGAAAACTTATATTATTTATGTGAAGGTCTGCATCGAGTAAACTTCATATTCTGATTTTAGCGGACAAAAGATCACAATAAATTATTCTAGTCTCCTAAAGTCTTAGATTATTCATAACTAACTTGCTCAAACTAAGAAAACTTGTATTATGACTCTAGGCAGCAAAAGGACCACATCGAAGTAAACCAACCTAGGTTGTTCATAATTGGCCGACTAAAATCAAGAAGGATAATAGGCAGATCTCGCTAAGAGTCGAACTTTTTAGAAAATTAATTAGTTAAAAGTGACATGTAAAATGATTATTTGAGTTCTTCCAAATGATAAGTTTAATTCGATATATTATTCACTCAAAACAAATAATAAGTAAATAAAAAATTAATTCTCAAAGTGTACAAACCTGAGTTTTGGAAAAATGAAACTAAAAAGACTTATGAGGAACATTTGTCTCAAATTGGAAAATGGGATTGTGTTTGCAATATTATATACATTCTTCATTTCTTTAAAGGCCCCTCACACCCCGATCCGATAGAACAAGTTGAACTGCCGCTAGTGAGACTTAATCCATAGTCATTCTTTCAAACTTTCACCTATGTGATCAGTTGAGTTGTCAATGCGGGTGCAATACTATATACATAATTATATATTATAGAGTTTCCCTTTTAGGTATAAAGAATGCAAATCAAATAGCAAAATAAGCCATAAATCATTAGTCTAACCAATTTGGTTAATTTTAAATTTTTAAATAAATAATTATTGCAATAACATTTCTAAAGTATATTTTTTTCACTCAACCAAACAATAGAATATAATTTTTATTCTTTTTATTCCGGGAACCAACGTGCTTTAAAAGAAGAAGAAAAGCTTAATGTGCGGTAGACGGTAGTATTGAATTTGCGTGTTTAATGCGAAACCTGAGATTAGAAGAAAAACATCCTAGTCTCATGTTCTGATCTGATGGTACGCTACAATTTCAAACTAACAACATTCTCAGAGCGAGGGGCGTAACTCTAGGCTTCTCTCTCATTCTACATAATCAACGACAAAAGCAAATTTCACAACAAAATAACATGCAAACCAACCCTCAAATTCATTCAGACATTTTCACAAACACATAATGCCCAGCAAGTTGAAGAAGGCTATCGGGGCAGTGAAGGACCAAACCAGCATCGGCATCGCCAAGGTCGCCAGCAACAACTCCTCCAACCTCGAGGTCGCCGTCCTCAAAGCCACCACCCATGACGATCTCCCCATGGAGGACCGCTACGTCCAGGAGGTCCTCCAGCTGGTGTCCTCCGACAAGGCGTACGCCGCCGCCTGCGCCCGCGCCATTAGCAAGCGGATTGGGCGGACGCGGAACTGGATCGTGACCTTGAAGTCTCTGGTCCTGGTGCTCCGGATTTTCCAGGACGGCGATCCTTATTTCCCGCGGGAAGTCCTGCACGCCATGAAACGCGGCGCCAAGATCCTCAACCTCTCCAGCTTCCGAGACGACTCCAATTCCAGCCCCTGGGATTTCACCGCCTTCGTCCGGACGTTCGCGCTCTACTTGGACGAGCGTTTGGATTGCTTCCTCACCGGGAAGCTGCAGCGGCGGTTCACGCACAACGCGGCTCACCTGACCCGGCGCCCCGACGAGCCGGTCCGGGAAATGAAACCGGTGATGTTGCTGGACCGGATCGGGCACTGGCAACGGTTGTTGGAGAGGGCGATGGCCACCAGGCCGACGGGGGCGGCGAAGACTGACCGCCTCGTGCAAATCGCGCTCTACGCGGTGGTGGAAGAGAGTTTCGATCTGTACAAAGATATCTCCGACGGACTTTCTCTCATCCTCGATAATTTCTTCCACTTAGAGCACCAATCCGGCGTGGTTGCCTTCCAAACCTGCATGAGAGCGGCGAAACAGTACGAGGAGCTATCGGAATATTATGATCTCTGTAAGAGCATGGGAGTCGGGAGATCGCCGGAGTATCCAAGCATTCAGAAATTCTCCGAGGAGCTGATTGAAACCCTACAGGAGTTCCTCAAAGATCAATCGTCGTTTCCGGTCCACGCAAAGTCGCCTAACAATCACCCCTCGTTTCTTCTCCTCCCTTCACCGACCACTCCCCACCGCACACGCCACAATAGCTTCGACGCACTATACGATCAAATCTGCGCTTCTCGTAGCTCGAGGCGCGGTAGCTATGGCGGACAATCCGAATTTTCCGTTGCAACTGACGGATCCTCGGAAACCGGGTCGGAAATCGGGGTAGATGATCTTCTCAGCGCTACTCTAACCACCGGGAAAAACCCTGCCATTAATGACTTGGAGACGTGTTCAGAAAGAGACGATAACTACATGCTGAGTGAATCGGGATCGGCGAAGTCATTGCCGGCTTCAAATTCATTCGCCGATCTTTTATCATTGGACGATTGGAACGGAGACGACGAATACGGAGACGGAGAAGAGGCGGCGACGCCGCCTAGTTCTTCCAAAGCCGCAACTACAAACAATTTTGCCGAGTTTGAACTAAATAATGATGCAGCCGCCGCCGGCTGGGACCTTGTGTTATTCGAAACACCGCCGCAAGAGGCGGCGGCGACACCACCGTCGAAATTTGATTTCGAAAGCTTGTTTGATCCGGTTTCCTTGCCATTACCGCCGGCTAATAAAAGTCTAGACTCATCATCGTTAGACGCGTTGTACAATCAAAGCCAAGTTGGCCAACCAATGTCGGCACCTCCTCCTCATCGTCACTATAATCCTTTTCTTCAAGAAGAATTTCCGACGACCACAGCACCTCTGGACATGTTTTCCGTGGCTCCGACGACATTCCCAGCCACGCCGGAAACTTCATCGCAAAATCAATCCATCGCACCGACGTTTTCTGCACCAAGTCCACCCGCAACCGCCGGACATAATACCGATTTTTCATCACCGCCTACCTTCCATGCAACTTCGACATTGCAAAACGACGAATTTTCTCCGGCGCCTACCTTCCATGCAACTCCGGTCTTCTCTGCACAAAGCCAGGAATCGTCGGCAATGCATAGTGCCTATTCTCCGGCGCCTACCTTCCAAACTCCGACATTTCCGGCACAAAGTCCAACATCTAGGGCATTGCATAATGACTTCTCTCCGGCGCCGGCGCCGGCGCAAAGTCCAACATTTCAGGCATCCCTAGCGGAAACAGCAACAATGCAGATGCAGATGCAGAAGGAGATGGACCCTTTGGCGTCACTGATCGACGACCAAATGTTTAGTAGTTCAAACATGAGTACGCAGAACATGGTGCAAGAACAACAACTTTGGTTGCAGAACCAAAACAAGATCATTGCAAAGCATATGTCCTAAACTAAACATACTAACATAACATATACAGTATATATATATTTATATGATATGATTCGTGTTTACTTTTTGTTTTTTGTTTTTTAAATTTCTTTTTGGGTTATGATGATTAGCTAGCAGTGCAGGACTAGCTGTTTTGTTTAATCAACATTTTTGAAGCCAAAACTATCACATTATTATTTCAGTATAAATATTTATAATTCATTACAGTTAATTGAACAAAATATTCTCAAAATCCATGGTTTTGTGTAGCACAACTAGCTTACAAGCTAAGTAGCTATAAACTCAACCAATTTCATGATATTGTGGTTATAAATTTGTTTCTTAGTTATTCTGGCTGGGTTACCTGAAGGTTGAATTATTGATTGAATACAATGAACCATGGGATCCAAAAATCTCTGAGCTAGGCTTGTAGTTGCTCTGGGCCATAAAGGAATTTAATTTGCATGTGATTGGGCCTTTTGCTGCACATTCCAAACTGAATTGTCCAGTGTAAGCCCAATAACCTTGTAGGAAGGCTTTGTGTGGGTGAATTATATTGCAATAGTAGTTGAAGGGCTTGAGGTTCCAAGAACTCGTTTACGGGCTTATGAGAAGGTAAATGAGTCAATTTAATTTTGAGATTTAATACTGAATTGTACATTTTTATATGAGTTAATACCCAAAATCGTCCTCGACTATAGTGGTTTTTCTCAATTTCGTCCTAAACGACTTTGGTGACCTAATATCGTCCTAGACTTTTGTGTTTCGCTCAATTTAGTCCTCCATTTGTTATTCCGTCAAATTGGTGTTAAATAAAGGGACAATTCAGTAATGTCAATATTGATCTCTCTTTACTTTCAACTTGTGAAGTGCGAAATTCATCTTTCTTGTACGAATTACACCCAGAATTACTCCCGGACATGCAAATCAAATTTTATATTCGCAGTTTTAGGAGTAATTTGTAAAAAAAAAAAAAAATCGCAGTTCACATGTCTATGAGTAAAGAGATGCCAATATTAAAATTACGGAATTGTCTATTTATTTAACACCAAATGGACAGAATAACAAATGAGGGACTAAATTGAGCGAAATACAAAAGTCTGGGACGATATTAGGTCACCAAAGTCGTTTAGGACGAAATTGAGAAAAACCACTATAGTTGAGGACGATTTTGGGTATTAACTCATTTTTATACACAACGAATCAAATCCAAATCCAAACTTTAAATGTCTGTGGTTGGAATTGAACTCTTACTTTGCTGTTGCAAGTAAGTTTTAAATAAAAAATTTCATCAATTATACCAAGGTCTTGGATGCATCTTTTGCTTTTTTAATGCTACTAACTCAATTACATTGTAGTATCTGTTCAAATATATTTTTTCAACCCAATGAAGCACACAGAGTCAACAACGCATCCACTGAGGCTCGATCTCATGACCTCCAACATGGGAGAAGTCACTACATGCCATCTGAGTACAAGGTGCCTGGTGTTGGTTTTTGGGTTTTTGGGCCCAGGGAGGTCCAACACAACCTTGGTCGGTGGATTCACCTTTCACGTGCGGCTTATAGAAAAATAAGTAGAACAAATATAACTCAATGTTTTTTGTACGTGGAAACCGAAAGGAAAACCACGAACCTTTTTGGGCGGTGCCGAGTCTAACTCCACTATGCATTTTGTAGGTGTCTTTGTACATATTGTAGAGCTATTTTGTACATGTAGTATGAAAATATTGTGTAGTGAAAGAGCTATACTTTGTATATAGAGATGAGGTATGCTTCTTTGTGGTAGAATGGAGTCTTCTTGATAGTCTTCTTGTTGTGTATGTGAATTGCCTTCTCTTGGGAGAGTGGTGTCGGAAGAGTGCTTGTATGTATGAATGAATGATATGTCTCTTTGAGGAGAAAGAATAGTGAGTGGGAGAATAGTACTTGGGAGAGTCCTCCCATATGTAGATGAATGAATGGAATCCCCATCCTTGTGCTCTTCTTCTCCTTCTTATAGCTAGCCCATCCCAAAAGTGTCTGTTGGACCATTAGTGGGGTATTGATGGGTGATAATTAGGGGGTTAAAGATAATAATAATAATTGGGTAATAAGTGGGAGGTTAGGAATTGTGGGGTAGATTAATAGGGTAGTAAATAGAACTTTAAGGGTAGATAATTAGGAGTTTAATAGGGGCTAACGGCTAGTTTTAAGCCGACCTTCTACCCGTGCCGATTCCACACCCGCGCCGACTCCTGGGCCAAGCCGACTCCTGCGTATCTCTTTTGGGCTTACTCCATTTTCCTCTTGGGCTTCTCTTCTTCTTCTTGGGCTTGATCTAATTTCTTCTTGGGCCCCGAGCCAACGGGGTACACACCCCATCACTTGGCACTAAGGCTGTATTTGGAAACCCATAAAATGATTTTTGGAAATCGTTTTTCGGATTTCTAGTGTTTGGATGTAATTGAAAAATCCAGTCAACGGAAAATATTTTTCCATTGACTGGGCAAAATCAAGTCATTTTGGCAGAAAACGACTTATGTCAAAATTTGGTGAAAGTCATTTTTTGCAACACTCGGAACAAGGTTTTCGATGGAAACAAGTGTTTTTTTTTTTTTTTTTTAAATATTTGATAAATAATATTATTTTTAATATTATTAAAAATATTTTTATATTATAAATTAAATATTTGAAATGTTTAAGTATACAAATCTATTCATTTTTTCCAAAAATGAACCAAACACACAAAAATAGTTTTCTGTTGTGTAGCCAAACACGAAAATATTTTTTTGGAAAATGAGTCATTTTCCAGAAAACATTTTCTGTAAGTTATTCTTCTGCTTTTCAAACGGATCCTAAATTAAAATGCATGATAACCAACTATCATGTAATCTGACAATATATCAATTACTATTCTAAATGAATGGTCATATATTCAAACTTCCATCGTTCCAGATGTTTCATTACTCGGGATATGTAGGGGTGTTAGCGAACAGAGCTTTCGGCAAACTACTCGTGTTCGTGTTCGGTAAGCGTTCGTTTATGTTCGTTTGTTAAGGTAAACGAACATTAACAAACAAAATTTAGAACTCGGTTAATAAACGAACAGAGCTTGAACAGTTGTAAGCTCGTTTTCTAAGAGATCGTGAACAAGCTCATTTGTGTTCGTGAACAAGCTTGTTTATGTTCGTTTAATAATGTTCGTGAACAAACTCGTTTGTGTTCGTTTAATAATGTTCACGAACATGTTCACAAACATATATATTATATTATATTAGTTATGTAGTTGTATTGTTTGTTTGATAATTGTTCGTGAACGTAGATTATTTATTGTTCACGAACGAATTGTGATCATGAACATGTGCATGTGTTTGTTTATTAAGTGTTCATGAATGTAAATAAATACGTTCATAAATGTGTTTGTTAATGAACATGTTTGTGAACGTGTTTGCTAACGTTAACGAACACGTTTGCAAATGCGTTCACGAACGTTAACAAATACGTTCGCGAACATGTTCGTTAACGTTAACGAACACGTTCGTGAACGTGTTCGCGAACGTTAACAAACACTAACGAACGCTTAATAAACGAACACGAACAGGATTTTCAAAAACCTTAACAAACGAACACGAACACGAACACTCCAAATTCCTTAACAAACGAACACGAACAACCTCCGCTCGTTTATGTTCGGTTCGTTAACAGCCCTAGGGATATGGGAGGTCATTTGGATAGGGGATTCAATCTTTATAAAGAAGAAAATTTATGAGTATCTCAAAAAGAAAGTGCATGATATAAATATTAGTTGAAGGGCTTGAGGTTCCAAGAAAATGAGTGTCTGTCTCTTAACTTTCATTGATAATGGATGAATTAAATGAACCAATGGACCATATTTTGGGTACTGTGAGAGTGTGAGATGGCGACAGCCTTGCAAGCACCAAGAAAAATAATCTCTTCTAGAGGAATACATATATAATCTCATTAATGTAGCTGTCTGTGGCAACGGGCTTGGGGTTCACAAAAACTACAAAAATCTTTCCTAAATTTCACCATATTACGATTTATTTACTCCGTATTTATTTATTTTTTGGTGGGGGTTTACCTTGGTTTTTTTTTTTTTTTTTTTTTTTTTTTTTTTTTTTTTTTTTTTTTTGTCTAACATGCATATTAATATCACAATAAAAGAATAATTCCGCTAGAGTAGTTCAAGTGGTGTCCTGTTGAAGTAGCTTAAGTGGTCGTCCAATTAACGTTTAACTAGTGGTGATGTTATAAACTTAAAGTGAAGTGATACGTAGTCTTGGTTAAAAAAAAAAAAAAAATTTACCGGAAACAAAGAATTGGTCCTCGTCTCCATGCAAATGAGGTTCTTTATTTATTTATTTATTTAAAATTTTTTTGTCATCCATCGAACAACTGGTACCACATCTCACTTTAGGTTGAATTGCATAATTTTTTATTGTTTAGGGACTTAATTGCATAAAATTGTGACATTATCTATTTTAAAGCTACATATTTTGTTTATAAATGTTTGTTATTATAACCCTCCAATATTTGACAATAAATTCAAAAATTTAGAGCTTATGTGCTATTAGATATAATTTCAAGAAAGAAACTAATTCATTATATCATAATTTAAAACGTTTACAATGAAGTTGGTGGAATGGTAAGCCATTCCGTACAGCTTGGCACATAAACAACTTCCTTAGCATTCTAGCAATGCTAAAGGCAACTTGATTCCCAAACTGTTTTACAAATTGGAAGCTAAGATCATTGAAGTAACTTTCTTTAGAGCTATGTGCTATTGGATGTAATTTTGAAAAGGTGTTTCGATAATTGCAGCATAAGGATTGAACCCAAAAATATATATATACTGAATTCTTTGTATGATGAGCTGCACATCTGTTAAAGTGATATAAATGTAGATATGGTGCTAAATATAATGCTGCATTTCCACATTTTAATTAGTCAAACTAGTCTAGTTTGAATGAAAGGATAAGGATGAGTGTAAGTAGAGATTATGGAAGATTAGAAGATATAGTTGAATTGAATAGAATAGAATGAAAGACAGAGCATGTGAGTATGTATGTAGACTAACGATATTATGTTTGATTTAGAGAAAAAAAAAAAACATTAAAAAAAGTCGCCTTGTAATCTTGTATCCATC